CCTACGAAGTGTCGCCAATGGTAGGGACCGAGTTGGAAGATTTGCATGGTGGGAACGTACACGACAAGAAAGGAGTGACTGATGGAGGATGTAAGAACAACAACTATTAGAGGACTCACTCTTTGCATTTGTTAGCGAAGAGAATTAGAGTTGTGAGCAGAATCGGTCCTTGAGCTAGATAGCCTTAGGGAATGTTGAATTTGAGACGAAAAGTTCACTTTGTTTAGAGTAGTGGAAAGGTCAATGGCAAACTGCCTGGAAACGTAGTGTTCCCACCGCAATCTAAACAAAGGACTAGTATCGAACACGACTTTAAAGGGTACCATGTGGAAGCTCCGACGATCTATACAAACACTCCGGTAGACATCCCTGATCAAAGTAGGACAATTAGTTAGCTCAATATTAAGAGTAGCGGTGAAAGGGATAGGAACATGCTGAACCAAACTGAATTGATGGGCAAATTGGCGGGCATATAGATTTCCACACCGCAACGGGCATTGGGACCAATAGAAGGTCCAAGGCTATAATGAAGATCCCTGGGGTGGAGGTATGAATACAAGCGTCTTCATGTTGAGTGCTCAGATCAAGAGGTGCTTCTCTAGGGGCGTAAAGAAACCATTCAAGACCTCGATTTCAAGGGAATGACATCCAAATAGACGGTTTGATTGAAGAAAAAACTAAAACAATCAAAGAAGGATGACTCTTTGCAAGAGACCTTATGTAAATTCAGTCATAGGAGACATCAGAGTCAGAGGCAGAAGGGATGGAAAGTTCCAGGAAATAGGCACGAAGCCGTAACGGGAGAACCCAAATAGGTCGCGCGCCTTTAAACATATTAGAAGTGATTGTTTCGAACATTCCTCGTTTCAATTACCTAAATAGTCATGATTTAAGAATGTCACGCCGGTTCAAAGGGGAATGGCCGTAAGTGTTAGGAGTCCATCGCAACTTTGGCATGCTCGCAATTCAAAATATTCCAAATAGACACTAACCCAACAAGTTTGTTATTCATGTTATTCGATTGAGTCATTTTCGTATTGTTGTCGAGAACTAGTTAACCATAATTTGCTAATTTCATATTGGATTCATGTTATATTAGAAATTGTTATTTGCACTTCCATACAATCCTATGAGCCGAAAAGTATAGTAAGAATAGGACTCGCTCATTCTGATTGGAAAAAAAAAAATTGTTGGACCATATGTCTATATTGAATGGTATTTTTTTTTTGGTTAAGCCTATTTAGGGCAAAATTTTATTAATAACAATAATTATAAAAAGGGGAGGGGAGGACTGAAACCTTATCCCTTCACAAATGCCTTCCAATGGTGTATTGAAAACCTTAGCCGAGACCCACACATTTATCGGTTCATAAAATACCACTCATGTTTCTTTCACCTTGATCGCTTGCATGTTTATCATTAAGTCTTCCCACTAAATCCTTAATAAAATAAAATATAGGTCCATGTTTTGTCCCCACCATGTCTCCAACTAGATACATTCTAAGTAAATGTATTTTCAAACCTTCGACGACAAATGCATCACCCAAACATTTCAATGCAAAGTGGTGGGTCCTCCATTGCCCTAAAAGTCACCCACCACTTTAAAAATTCATGCATTCAAGGAAACTGAAATATTTTTTCTCTTTTAGTGGTGAGAGAAAATCTTTTCTCAATCTTCTTCCAAGGTAGTTAGTTACCGAAAATTACTTGGTTTACCCAAGAAACTTGCAATATTTGGAAAATCTTACCTAAAATTATGTAAATAGTCCACATTTTCATGCTAATCTAGCTGTTTATCCTTACTTTATCAATCCCGAAACATTGAATCTAAATTTATGTTTAGCATAAAAAAAATAACTATTTAGTGCAAAATTTTTCTACCAAACAAAAACTCTTCATAGTTTGTGGGAGGAAATCGAAATCAAGGTTTAAGGTTAGATTGGTAAAATTAGAAAAAGACCATCCTGAACTCTCTTCCCACTTTCCTTCTCTACATTTTCTTTCTGTCCAAGTACGACTTTGTTCTAAAACCCTCCCTCTCTCTCAACCACCATAAACCTCTGTTCCCTCTTTCTCTCTAAACCCATTTTTTTTTACTCCCTACAGACAATCCCAGTTTCGAAGATGTTGAACAAGGTTACTTCTAGGCTGTCGAGGAACGTGTCGGCTCAATCCCGGAACTTGTTCCTCAACGCTTGACAAAAGCAATCACACTTCCCGGCAAGGATTGAAATTTCGTTTTGAAATACCGTTTCGGTCAGCTTAAAAATAGAAACGTTTCGGAAACGCAATGGAAACGCCGAAAAAATATTGAAACACAAAAAAAATATGGAAACACAAATACAATTCATTTATTTATAAAGTNCGTTTTGAAATACCGTTTCGGTCAGCTTAAAAATAGAAACGTTTCGGAAACGCAATGAAAACGCCGAAAAAATATTGAAACACAAAAAAAATATGGAAACACAAATACAATTCATTTATTTATAAAGATAAGCTAAATAATTGATTAATTTAACATATTTATTGGGTTAATATCCATTTATACAAGAATAAATTTAAATTGGAAGAAAAAAAGGCTTGACATAAGGCGGAAATCACTTAAATTAGTTTCAAACACTTAATTTTCATCAAATAAACACATGTTTACTTAATTTTCATCAAATAAATTAAAATATTATCTAATTAATAATACTATTTTATTATAATACTAATAATGAAGGATATCAAATTAAATTAATGGTAGTTGTGTATACTTAAAAATTAAATGTAATTGCAGTGGGTATTAAATGTAAATATAATGAATATTAAATATAATTATTCATACTTATAAAAATAAATAAATAAATAAAAGACAAAAGACCTGCACAACAGTGGGGTAGTAAATGTAATTATAATAGGGTATTAAATATAATTATAGTGGATATTAAATATAATTATAGTGGGATATTAAATATAATTACGGTAGGGTATTAAATGTAATTATTCATACTTATAACAAAAATATATATATATATATAAAAGGCAAAAGACGCACAGTTCAACCACGAACGAACAGAGAGACAGTGAGAAGGCGGAGAGGCGAGAGGCGTAGGCATAGGCGATTGCGATGGGCGATGCCGATGCCGCGGAGAGAGAGAGAGAGAGAGAGAGAGAGAGAGAAGAAGAAGAAGAAGAAGAAGAAGAAGAAGAGAAGAACATACTAGTGGTAGCTCGTGGTCACAACGATGAAGACAGGGCAACTCCCAAGCCCTAGATCTGCGTGGATAATGGTTGAATCTGTTCAAATCTGGAGTCAAGGAGGTAAGTTACAGGAACTTCTCCTTCAATTTTTGGTCTATAGTTCTCTGTGTCTTTGATTTTGTCTGGTGCCTTTCTCTCTCTTCTCTGTGTTTTTTTTGCTTGAAAGATCTGGACTGGACTTGGACATGTGATATCTTCTGAGATCTCTGCTTTTTCCTCTCNTACATATAAAAAAAATATATATATATATATATATATATATATATATATATATAAAAGGCAAAAGACGCACAGTTCAACCACGAACGAACAGAGAGACAGTGAGAAGGCGGAGAGGCGAGAGGCGTAGGCATAGGCGATTGCGATGGGCGATGCCGATGCCGCGGAGAGAGAAAGAGAGAGAGAGAGAGAAGAAGAAGAAGAAGAAGAAGAAGAGAAGAACATACTAGTGGTAGCTCGTGGTCACAACGATGAAGACAGGACAACTCCCAAGCCCTAGATCTGCGTGGATAATGGTTGAATCTGTTCAAATCTGGAGTCAAGGAGGTAAGTTACAGGAACTTCTCCTTCAATTTTTGGTCTATAGTTCTCTGTGTCTTTGATTTTGTCTGGTGCCTTTCTCTCTCTTCTCTGTGTTTTTTTTGCTTGAAAGATCTGGACTGGACTTGGACATGTGATATCTTCTGAGATCTCTGCTTTTTCCTCTCTTTTTTTTTTTGGCTTAGAGCTGTGAATTCTGACTTGTGGAATCTGCTTTCTGAGCCTATCTCTTTTCTCTCTTTTTTCTTTTGGCCTGGAGTGAACAATGAACCAAATCTATCCACTGTTTTGTCCAAACGGTACTGTTTCAACCGAAACGGTCCGAAACAGTTCCGTTTCAAACGAAACACTGGAATTTTGTGATTCAACCACTGTTTTGTGTTGGAGTGTTGAAATTCTGAAACGTTTCAAACGTTTCGACATGACATTTTGATCCTTGCATCCCGATCCTCTTCCATCAATTTCACTCTCTCGGTGATTCTCAAAACAAGGTAATCTGGCAATGAAAATGTCGTAAATTTCAATCCCTATGTTCAATAGAGCTTTAGTATCTCTAAATTAAGTCCTATCTATTAGCTTCTGTATTGATTTTTAATCTATTAAAGATTCTTTTACCTATTACATGTGGAATGGTTTTTGTATCAATCTCATGATGCTTCTTTTATAAAGCCCACATTTTGATTGGTATTTGGGGATCATAGTTTGTGCTTTTGCGTTGAATCTACTTATTGAGTTTTATTATTGATCTCGTGATGCTTCTTTTATAAAGTAGGCATTTTGTTTGTGTATATGGGGATCAAAGTTTGTGCTTTTTTTTTTTTTTGACTAATTTGTATTTTTTAGGATTTTTGTTCTTTACAGCTTCAGATTCTGAGAGTATCAATTCGTTTTGTTTTCTATATTGGTTTATTTGGAACAGGTTGCATTGTATGTAGAGTAGTTTGTTAACGAAGCAAATGACTGTGAGGTGGTATTGGCAACAGTTTTAGAAATCTGAGGATTTATGGATCTAATGTATTGGCTGTAATCTCAACTATTAAATTATGTCATTGCCGCCTCATTTAATTAGTTTGTGTGATTATATCTTTTCTTCTTCCTAAGTAAAATATTGCAACCATATCCTTAATTTCACGTGAACATATTGGGATTTACAATCTTTAAAAACATGTAAGCATTTAAGTAACTTCATATAGGTTCACGCTCTAGGGACGATCTCGTTCCCAATCAAATTAAGTTTTGCCACTTACCCGCCTTCACTCCCTATTAGCTGCTGCTCTCACTTTCTGTGACTTGGGTTCAGTTAAGAACATATAAAGATGTTCAATGCGAGGCTCCTGCACCACGGACTTGAAGTTAATCACATCATGACATGTCATTTGAAGCTTATAGAGATGACATGTCAACAATCTTGGCCACAACTCTGAAGTCTCAGGCTTAGGCGTGTCACTGTAAATGCACTTCAAGATTATATAGTTTTCTGGATTTACTCGACTTTTAGAGGAGGAGGCTGTAGGCATATTGAACCATCTTGTTTTCATGTCACTAAGCAACGCTCTTGTGGAAGGCTTTGACACGTAGGCAATAGGCATTCATCAAAGGGGTGGGCCACCAGTCTCACAACAAGGTCTGTTGAGAAGGCAGGCCATATAAAACTATAAAAGTGCTTTGCATTTGGATTCCTTTTATTCTTGTTCCTATATATGAATTTTTTGTTTTCTTTAAAAAAATGGATTTGCTTTTTGTGCTCCAGGTGTTTTCAGGTCAGGTGGCTTTTTTGCATCATTCATGCCTCAAAACATATGCCTTTCAATGCTTTGGATTCTCCTCATCTGCATCTCCACAACCCAATGAGAAAGACACCACCCAGTCTGAAGATGAGCAAGAGAGCACGGTAGAGAACAATGATGCTGTCGCAAAAACAAGTGGAGATGCTGAAGTTCCTGATCAAACAGAGGCATCTGCTTCTGAACATACTAAAGTTCCTGACCAGAAAGAGGAATCAGGTTCTAATACAGCACTTTTCTCTAACATGTTTGAATCTTTCAAACGAAGTAGAAGAGGTACTCAACAAGCTGCATTTTCTGGTTCTGCTTCAGATTTGGAGAGTGAATTATCCAGGGATGATCTGGTGAAACTTGTGGTGGAGAAGAAGAAGCTTCTAAGTATGAAGCTCAAAGAAAGTGAGCAACTGAAAGACAAGGTTCTCCGGACTTATGCAGAGATGGAGAATGTAATGGAGAGGACAAGACGTGAAGCGGAAAATGCAAAAAAATATGCCATACAGGTTTTTGAGTTGGCGCTTCCGGCCACATAATGATACATAATTTCATATAGGACCCACAAGCCCCCTAGCAGTGCTTCAATTTCTATATGGACAACTCTTACCCTTCTTTTTATTTGATATATTATGCAGAGTTTTGCAAAGAGCTTGTTGGACGTAGCAGATAATCTGGGTAGGGCTTTTTCAGTTGTAAAGGAGAGTTCTTCAAAGATTGATGCTTCTGAAGACATTGTTGGGGCTGTGCCACTTCTGACAACTCTTTTAGAAGGAGTAGAAATGACTGAAAAACAGCTTGCACAGGTGTTTTCTACTTCCAGTCGCATATAAATGGAAACCTCCCCAACTGCTATCAGTTAATTTAGCAGGAACTGGGTTTCATTGTGGCTTGAGGGATTGGTTGTGAATCCCAACTCCCAGTCTGTTTCAAGGCGGCCAAGAGAGAAAATAATTAATATTTTATTAGTCTCCTTCAAAACTAAGCCATCTTTGTTGGATTGGTGTAACTAAGTTCAGTCAGTTTTTTCCTTTCTTTTATGTTATTCAGATATCTCTTCTAAATATATTCCTTGTTACCAGCATTTCACTTCTAGTCTATCTCGGCATATAGTAATTGCGGTCCATGCTATGTCTGGTGAAAATTAGAGTTTTATGATATAACCAGCTTTGGAAGCAAGTTTACTTAGCTGAGCTTATGACTGTTTTTGCTTCCAGGTATTCCAAAAGTTCGGAGTCGAGAAATATGATCCTACAGACCAACTATTTGATCCTCACAGGCATAATGCAGTATTTCAAGTGCCAGATCCTTCTAAACCTGCTGGTACCGTCGCTGTCGTTTTAAAGGTAAATGCTCTGCAAATTTTGTTGCCCTGATGTTTATAAGAAATATCCTTCTGAGTGAACACGAGAAAGAGTAAATGCTTTTGTTTTCTTCTTCTTTTTTCTTTTTGGGTGAGCGGTGGGAGTGGGGATGCATTGGCACACGTGACAAATCTTTCTATATGTTTGTCCTGAACAAATGATATAACTTCGTGTCATTGTGATTGGTTTTAGATTTTTCTTTTTAATAAGTAGATTGGTTTTAGGATATTCATCAATGTTGTGTGAAACTGTGATTCACCCTTCTTTTCAGTGGTTTCTTAAACGGGAATTTTTTCCCACCAAGTGCCATTGATTGATTTTGCGACACAACTACATCTTTGAGATGATGAGTTCAAATAGCAATGTGCTTCGCTTTTTTTTTTTTGGCAGTCGGGATACATGCTGCATGACCGAATTCTTCGGCCAGCTGAAGTAGGCACGACAGTAGCAGAGGAGAAATAAGGATGCAGACCAAAACTTTGAAGCTTAGAGGAATGGTCTAGTAGAATCCCCTCTGCATTATACCAACAAATCTTGTGGATCTGCTTGCTGGGGATGAATCAAATCGTGGTGGTTCACCTTGTTAGGTACACCTTCGTTGCTATTCCTGGTCCCCATGAAGGAACAGTTTCCTTTTCTTCTCTGATCTATTTATTGTCATCTTACGAAGATGGTGCCCGAAACACGCTTTAGAAGTTCGAAATCTAGTTTTGTAGAAACAGTTTTGACCATGAAAGGTTTAATATTTGGAGATTTTGTTTTTAATAAGAGTATTTGCTGCTTCTTTTGTAAACACAAGATTGCATAAGACACTTTTGAATCTTACACAACTGACCAAAGAAATTGTGTCCTGTGTATTATGCCTGCTATAACTGAAGAGTTAAAAATTTTCATTACCATCTAAACCCTTTACCAGAACGAGTTGTCAAACGTAGTCGTAGCTTGCCGGAATATAACGGAACTTCCGTTCTGCGGACTCGTCCGGCTTGACAGACGTCTATCTTTCAAACTGTCACTCGTCTTCTAATTGGATCAGATCAGAAAGAGCAGCTGGTATACTCTGAAGTTGGCTTTTGCCATATCAAATTGGCAACATCTGCATTGTACAGTACAGCCACTGTAAAACGACGTCGTCTATAATTAAGGTCCTTCCGGGGATGGGCCTTGTATTACGCAGTTGAGCAGAGAGGCAAGTGATTGTTTAAATTTAATTTGTTGGCGCAATTTAATCCATCACCACAATCAAGTGCGGCGTCGTGTTTTNGTCTATAATTAAGGTCCTTCCGGGGATGGGCCTTGTATTACGCAGTTGAGCAGAGAGCCAAGTGATTGTTTAAATTTAATTTGTTGGCGCAATTTAATCCATCACCACAATCAAGTGCGTCGTCGTGTTTCTATACCTGTTACCAATAAATTATGTCCAAGTATCATTGCTCCCCCATTATTGGTGATAGACACCTAGCAATGATGGCCACTTTTTGTCGTGAAATATTTGTTTTGCCCGGCAATGACAAACTTTAAGGTTGCTTTGCTCCTTTACGTCTCATAGTAATTTACCCTTCAATTGTTGCTCAAATACAAAGTTGTCCTGCTCTGCTCAATCTAAGGGTGATACAATGTTAATAGAATAGTGACCTGTGAGACTACCAACTAATTATGAAATACTAGTAATATGTACTAGCTAACTTTATTAACTGGATTGATACGGTGGTTATAAATAGTTAGTGCATTGATTAGGGTTCCCCATACTGTTGTGGTGCACGTGTCAACAATGACATACCACCACAGTTGCATTCTCTTGTTTTCTCATTTATTTAAATAACAATATTATTCAATGTATATGCTTCGCGACATTTAGCCCATTGAAGAACTGTGTGGAGGGGGCCATTGAGCGGCTGGGAAAAGTCCGGGCTTGCTTACAGGAAGTGAAAATGAAAGTAAAGTAGTTTCGAGGGAATGAATTCTCTGAGATAGTGTCTAATGCCTTTTGAATTTCTTACAATAAAAGCCACATTTTGCTTTGATGATCTTCAAAGAAAGGCATCTGGAGGGATTACGTAAGTAATATGTGGTCTATTTTTTTCAAAAATTTGAAAATCGCTAGACTTGGAAGTACATATGCAAAGATTAAATACTTAAGAAATGAAGCCTTAAGGACTAAAATGATCAAGATCCCATGTTATCCTTTGTCCTTGTCAATTTAAGGTAGTTGAAACAATGATGTTATAATTTCTCATTTAAGCGTGTTAAAGAGAGAGCAGTACTAGGATAAGTAATCCCCTGAAGAAGAAGTCCTCCTATTGCACCCCTTTAAAAAATAAAAAAGTAGAAACAATATAATATGTTGTTTATTCTTAAAAAAATAAATAAAGATATTACAATCTTGTTTATACTTTTTTATATGAATTTAATCATACATTGAGTTGTGAATGATGCATTAAAAAGTTAGGTATCGCACCGCTCCACTTTAATAAGGAAAAGCTCTCCACTAATTACGTGTTAACTCTTTTATTAAAGGCCCATTACTTTCTAGGGCCCACACTTTTAAGCTGGCAAATCAGTCAATAAGAAGCTAATCAAGTAGGGCAAACTAACAAGGAATTGGTAAAAAATTAGCTTATAGGTAAAGTTGGGATCATTACAAGTAGGCCCTGAAACTCGAATCCCATAAAACTTTTTTAAAGTATTTATTTTGTACTCTACTTAAAAAACAAAAAATAGTGTTGAATTGTGATAAAAAAAAAAAAATTATTTGTTTATATGTCATTAAAGTTGTAGAAATGACTAAATTCAGGTTAGAAAAAAGCCATTAACGTTTGTTTTTACTAAAATAATGTTTTATAAAAATATTTTTTTTTGACTAGGAATTTCTCCAAAAAAATTGGTCACCTTTGAAGACGTTCATCAGTAGCCCAAACGTATCGTTCCCGCAATGTAATTTATTTATAGTTTTTTTTAAGTTATGCAATAGAACGAAGGCTTGCGCTTCAATTAAAGTAGTGTCTTTTGAATATGAGTAGAGCTCTTAGATGATGCCTTCTTGGAGACAAATAGAAGGAAGAGAGAAAAAAGGTGTTGTCATCTATTTCGACCAANAAAAAGCCATTAACGTTTGTTTTTACTAAAATAATGTTTTATAAAAATATTTTTTTTTGACTAGGAATTTCTCCAAAAAAATTGGTCACCTTTGAAGACGTTCATCAGTAGCCCAAACGTATCGTTCCCGCAATGTAATTTATTTATAGTTTTTTTTAAGTTATGCAATAGAACGAAGGCTTGCGCTTCAATTAAAGTAGTGTCTTTTGAATATGAGTAGAGCTCTTAGATGATGCCTTCTTGGAGACAAACAGAAGGAAGAGGGAAAAAAGGTGTTGTTATCTATTTCGACCAGNTGTCTTTTGAATATGAGTAGAGCTCTTAGATGATGCCTTCTTGGAGACAAATAGAAGGAAGAGAGAAAAAAGGTGTTGTCATCTATTTCGACCAATTTTTTGAGAAGTTGAAAATTTAGATTAGTTCAGAGAATAATTAACGTTATTTAACCTTTCTTGCCAACACAGAAGTCATCCTTGACGATTTTGCATTCCTTTTCTGCCGAGCTAACTCTCTTTGACATTTGGGAAAATACTAAATTTAGTGCCAAAAAATATAGTCATTTTTCTAAACTTCACATGCATAGTAGTGTATAAATGCATATACACATAGATATATGTAAACTCACAATTGATATGCATATATATTATTTTTGAAGAATAGTCCTTAAGCATGTTTTTGTGTTGGTCTAGAAGGTAAGCAATTGGTCTCGTGACCATCTCCCTTACAGCTAACCTTTAATATTACGGGTTTGAAAATCATTATTCTCTCCATGTAATAGTGTCGGGCCTAAAAAAAAATGTTTTTGTATTGGTTTTAAGTGAAAATCTAAAATTTTTTATAAAATTAATCCTTCAGAAAAAAAATATATTGAAAAAACATGGATCCGGTCCAGTCCATTTCAGTTGTGGTGGTGTGGGTCAAGGGTCAAGGGCAAATAAGCCACACTCACTGACAATGCCATGTTCGTAATAGTCCCACACCCACGGGTCTGGATATGGATCACCAGCGGGACAATTTAATACACAAAACTGCGTACGTAACGACCCCACCAACACTCCATTTTTTCCTCTCATTTTCTCTGTCCTTTTCTCTCTTAAACCATCTCTCTCCGACACAATCACTGAGACTGAAAGCGTTGAGATCTGAGACCACAAAACCCAAAAGCCCCTACTCGAAATTTTGATCTTGGTAAGCATTCTCTGCACTTCACATTTTCTTGGTTGATTCAGTAAAAACGTGGATTAATTCCTATGCAGTTGCTCTCACTTTGGCCTCTCGTGTTGAGTACACTCTGTTTTTTGGTTGATCTGAGAGTTTTGAAGTTCGTAAATCACTTGATTGTTGTGTATAGTAGTGTCGGAGAGTTACACATTTGGGGTACCAATAAGGGATTGGGGTTACGCTTGCTTGTCGTTATACACTGTTTTAGTGAAGTGAATTGCCTGGATATTGTGATTGCGGTGGGCATTACTGTGTTTAGGCTTGAGATCAAGTGCTTAGTCCTTGAATGTGGTTGATGAAGTTGTAATTTTGCATTTAATGCAATAGTTTAGTTGATTTAATGGGTTTTATTTGCAAATGAACTTGGTTTCGTGGATTTGTTAGTTTAGGAATCTTGCATAGCGATGTCGAGACCGTTTCCATTTGTGGTTGTAGAAAATGACTAGAAAGATTTTCAATTAGGGCCCCGTTTATGTTCGAGATTGAACATTTCTTTTAAGCAATGAAGTCAAGTATTTGTTTTGAGCAATGAAGTCAATAGCGCCGTTTATTTGTAAGTAGTTTGTGGCAATTGGTTTTTCCAAACATGCTGTGCTATGAGATGTTTTTGGATTCGGCATGCCGACCAAATTTTTGTGGAATATTTTATTATGATGTTTACTACGTCACTTTTTCTTCCCTTCACCTATTAATCGTTTGATGCTGACAGTTTTTATGTGTTGTTTATCTGTTCAAGTGTTGCTTATTACTGGTTTAAGATGTTTGATAAGTACTCGGAAATTTGTATTCTGATCACATATAAAAAGCTCAGAATGAAGTTTGAATTCTCTATTTGTTGCAGGTTTGATTTCCATTATAGTGGATGGCAGTGGTGGATGCTCAAAATCCTCTTGTTGGAGAAACCACGTGTGGTTCTTTACTGCAGCAGTTGCAGGTAATCCATTTTTGAAGTGATATTTGCAGTTTCTGTCCCATTAATATGTCATTCGTATTGGGCTAAATTAAGTAGTTTTTGTATGTATATATGCCAACTTCCACAGGTGGGTTAATGTCATTTAGGATGCAATAATAGGCTAATGAACAATTTTTATTTTGCAATGCAGCAAATTTGGGACGAGGTTGGTGAAAGTGATGAGGAACGGGACAAGATGCTTCTTCAGTTAGAGCAAGAGTGCTTGGATGTGTACAAGAGGAAGGTTGACTACGCTGTGAAGTCAAGGGCACACCTTCTTCAGACACTGGCAGATGCTAAAGTTGAACTCTCAAGTCTTCTATCAGCTCTTGGAGAGAAAAATTTTGTTGGAATTGTAAGTAACCACTTATCTTCACTTTTTCAGTTGTATCATATCTATGCTTTCTTGCTGGATTTTGAGAAATAGAACTATTAGCATCACAATGGATAGCACTTCAGCTTCTTTGGTGTCTTGTGGGAGTTACTAAATTGGGTACCTTCTTGTTTTCTTCATTTTGATGTGCAGCCTGAAAATACTTCAGGAACAATCAAAGAACAGCTTGCAGCTATAGCACCGGTATTGGAACAACTGTGGAAACAGAAAGATGAGAGGATAAAGGAGTTTTCTGATGTACAATCACAAATAAAAAAGATATGTGGAGAAATTGCAGGGAATAGTGATCAAGTAGGGAGTCCTACAGTTGATGAATCCAACCTCTCTCTGAACAAATTAGATGAATTCCATGCTCAGCTCCAAGAACTTCAAAAAGAAAAGGTATAGTCTCTACCACAATTGGTAGTCCATTTGTTAATAACTATTTCAATTTCTATATAAGCAAGATAGTCACTGTTCATTCTTGGCCGACCTTGCAGAGTGAGCGGTTGCACAAGGTCCTTGAGTTTGTGAGCACTGTGCACGATCTTTGTGCTGTCCTTGGGATGGACTTCTTTAGTACAGTCACTGATGTTCATCCAAGCCTGAACAACTCTAATGGTGTACAATCTAAAAGCATAAGCAGTGACACTCTATCTAGGCTGGCTAAGACTGTCATAGCACTAAAAGAGGATAAGAAGCAGAGGCTGCATAAGGTAACTGTTTTAGACTTAAGGTGTTATTAAATTCATCAGAACTTTTTATTCTTTTCTCCTTTTATCACATGGACCAGACATGTTTTCATTAAGAGACAGATTCCAGAAAGCTCCAGGTGTTGCTTTGTCATACGTGTGCTACCAAAAGATACCTTGATATTCATAAAGTTTACTACATAATTGTTTTTCATAAAAAACAGGACAGTTGCAACATCATACACTTTCACTTACAAAAATCACCTCTATCTATTCTCTGTTCCAACTAAATGCATTCCACTCTTCTGATGTATATTGTCCTTTTATAGCTTCAAGAATTAGCAACTCAGCTAATGGACCTTTGGAATTTGATGGAATCCTCCACAGAAGAGCGGAGTTTGTTCGATCATGTCACACGTAACATATCATCTTCGGTGGATGAAGTAACCATCCCTGGTGCTCTTGCTTTGGATCTGATTGAGCAGGTATTTGGAGTTCTCTACATTGTATAATCTTGACCATGACAGCAGTTTGTTTCATTTACCTTTTTTTTTATCCTGGGTCAAGGCCGAAGTGGAAGTGGAAAGGCTTGACCGGCTTAAAGGTAGCCGGATGAAGGAAATTGCCTTTAAGAAGCAAGCTGAGCTCGAAGAAATTTTTGCTTCTGTTCATATAGAGATTGATTTAGAGGTTGCTCGGGAAAAAATCATGGCACTGATTGACTCTGGCAATGTTGAGCCATCCGAACTACTGGCTGACATGGATAATCAGATAGTAAAAGCAAAAGACGAGGCTCTGAGCAGAAAAGATATACTGGATAAGGTTGAAAAGTGGATGTCAGCTTGTGAAGAAGAGAGTTGGCTTGAAGACTACAACAGAGTATTTATTCTCTATCTATATGTGTGTGTGCATATGTGAGTGAGCATCTGCATTGTGATTGTGTGTCCATGTAGAATTTCATTCTCCACGCACTGATTATGGTGTTCCATTCTCTGCATGACTGCTCATGTTATTGGTAGAGTTCCATGTTGTCTATATTAGCTTTTTGGTTCATGCAAGTAACTGGAGTATCCTCAATGCTGACCAAACTCTTGATTATTGGCGTCATTGGACCTAAATTTATGATGGAGTTTCTGGTAATTTGATTAGATTCTTGATGTCTGATCTGTCTCCTCAACATTTACTGTGCTTATTGATCAAAGATATAAATTTGGACTTTAAAAATGTTCTGTGGTTTTAGTTCATCTAGCCATATAATTGAATTATATCTATGGATGGCTAGTGTGAAATTTTTGTCCCATGAATTATATTATTTATATATGTCTCATACACAATATATGCTTACCAAATGGTATTGGTCTGGGATAAATATTGCCATTGGTACTCGTGTTCGGCCTGTTAGAGCATCCAACCCAAAACTTATTAGCAATGAGTGGAGTAGCCTCGTAAGTATATTAACCAACATTGGGTATTCCTAATTATTTGATGTGGGATACAAACTCTCTTTACACTGCTAATGTTAAATACATGGACTACCCAATTTCAGTATTCCTTGGAACCCGTTAGTACTTTTTTTCACTTTCATCATTTGGTTGTCAAGAAGGAAAACTGAGATTCACGAAAATGGAGAGACGGTCTCTCTAGTTCAACTTTTGAACAGAAAAATATAGAGAAATGAGACAAATAATTTTGATGAAACCAGTGGTAATTGTTGAATGTTTACAAAAAAAGGTGGTAGGACATGGCTCATTTCTGGTGCTTCCTTTTGAATTGGCATTAGTTGGCACCAGTACACGCCAATTAACTTTTGGCCATGAGTTTCTATCACCTCAATTATACTATATTGATGCACAACTTTGTGGGACAAGTATCTCTTGCAAGTCAGCAAAACAAAAAACTTTTTGTTTGGTATATTTTCCCTGTCAGATTCAATAGGGTTATGTGAATATTTATCATTTGCTAACTTAGTTAGAATGTTGATTTCCCTGCTCCTGGTTAGAAGGGTTCATTCTTCCTTTAACTATACCTATACTTTATGTCCTGAAGTATTTATCAAAACATAATATTTCATGTCCTTAAGAGTGATGTGATTCAGCAGTATGATGAGTTTTGTGGGACTGTTCTTCCCTTGTCAATTCATGAGTGCAATTCTGGTCCCATCAATAATTATGATATTACCACAACACTAATATTGTTTTGGTGAAACAGGATGAAAACCGGTATAACGCAAGCAGAGGTGCACACTTAAATCTCAAGCGTGCTGAAAAGGCACGAATCCTGGTCAACAAGATTCCTGGTATGTCCCAAAATTGGGGGATAACATATGGTTATCACAAATTAGGACAATTTATTATTATGACTTGACTCGGTATGCATCTCGATGGAATATGTTCATGTTTGAGTGTGCATGTATCAAGGATATTCATTACTGAAATTTAAAGAGCAGCTATTAGAGCCTTTATGATCTATGATTGGTGGGTTGATCTTTTCTCTGCTTTGAATTGATGATTTGATTATTGAACTCCTGAGTCAATCAGGGCAAAACTTTGGCATCGACTAGGCAACTTGTTATACACACCCTTCAACAGGCATCCAAGAGCCAAATAGAGCTGTATTCTGCTAGAAATTATAAATAGTACTTGTGACATTGTTCTATGTTGCATTGATTTCTCAAAGTGAGAGAATACATACTTGCATTGCTTGCTGCATTGAGAGTACATATGGGAGAGCTGTGCTATGGTACAGAAATATTTCAGCTTATTCAGGATGTTGTAATATCACTGCTTGTAATCATATTTAAAGAATTTTCTGATATTGATTGGTTTTTCTTTTTTTTGGCAATGTAGCTCTTGTTGACACTTTGGTTTCCAAAACTCGGACATGGGAACAAGAATGTGGCATATTATTTACTTATGATGGTGTTCCTCTACTTGCCATGCTAGACGAGTATGCAATGCTTAGGAATGACAGAGAAGAAGAGAAGAGAAGGATGAGGGTATGTCCGAGATGTGATATATTAGTTGAATGGTTAAACTAGTCAAAGCACTGTCTAAGATTTAGATGATTTAGTGGCATGGGTCATTCTCTCACATGAGCTTCGAACTAGGCTTATTACCTTTCTAAGATATATTTATAGCTAATATCATATAATTCTCTACTTACTTTTGATGTTACAGGATCAGAAGAAGTTCCATGAACAGTTTAACAAGGAACAAGAAGCTATTTTTGGCGCTACACCTAGCCCAGCTAGACCACTTGGTACGAAGAAGGTGGTAGTTTCACGCGCAAATGGGGGTGCAAATGGAAGTACTAGCAGACGGCTCTCTCTAAACTCTCATCAAAATGGTTCCAGGTCCACAACTAAAGAGGGGAAGAGGGACAACACAAGACCAGTTGCTCCTGTGAACTATGTTGCCATATCGAAAGAGGATGCTGCCTCACACATCTCTGGCACTGAACATCTACCAACTACACCATGATAAATATTAGAATCTGCAGGTTTATACCCTTGTGGATATTGCTATTGTCATTAGTACCTTAGTTGCTGCAGTAGGGATACATCTTTGAACAATGAGTGATTCACATGAAGAGGCTGGGTTAGCTGTCTGTGTAATGCTGGTATTCGGAAGGTTTTTTTCTCTCATGCTGCTTTGTTCGCTTCTTCTCCCGAGATCTATACTGTAGTATGTGTAAGCCCTTTGTTCCCAAAGTATATGATGTTGATGGAGGACGATGTTCTTAAAAGTGGTCTCTGATGGTTGCTTGCAATTATCCATTAGCTATACAAGACGGGTGTGGTGCTCATTCTTTCTCATACCAACAATAACAGAACATTAAGTTCAACTTAAGCTTTGAAGCTCAAATGCAGAGCCAAAGGAAGGAGGAGATGGTCTTAATTGCAATTTGCAAGTGTTTCCAATATCAGCAAAAGTAATTTCTGATTCCNACCAACAATAACAGAACATTAAGTTCAACTTAAGCTTTGAAGCTCAAATGCAGAGCCGAAGGAAGGAGGAGATGGTCGTAATTGCAATTTGCAAGTGTTTCCAATATCAGCAAAAGTAATTTCTGATTCCATATTTTGTTATTTTCAAAGTCTACCATCACACCCTAGTTAAAGAATTCTAATGTACAACAAATATTCCTTGATTTGAAAGAGGGAAAGGGTTTTTTGGGGGTTGAGGGCGAGGGAGAGGGAGAGGGAGTAGAGATTGGGCTCTTCAGAAATTACCAGAGAAAGGAAATTATTAATTTTAAGAAAGGAAGTGAGAAATTTTCGTAACTCAAACTCTTTATGTTTAAATTATACTGTATTCATGGTAAATATTTGATTTTAAAAAAATTATTTATTTTTTTTTGGAAGAGGTATGGTGTTGAAATTAATTTTTATTAGTTTAAAGGATTAATTGTATTGGAGGTCCGTAAAGTATGNATTTGAAAGAGGGAAAGGGTTTTTTGGGGGTTGAGGGCGAGGGAGAGGGAGAGGGAGAGGGAGTAGAGATCGGGCTCTTCAGAAATTACCAGAGAAAGGAAATTATTAATTTTAAGAAAGGAAGTGAGAAATTGTCGTAACTCAAACTCTTTATGTTTAAATTATACTGTATTCATGGTAAATATTTAATTTTAAAAAAATTATTTTTTTTTTTTTTGAAGAGGTATGGTGTTGAAATTAATTTTCATTAGTTTAAAGGATTAATTGTATTGGAGGTCCGTAAAGTATGGAGTTTATTTTATTTTAGCTCTTAATATTTTAATTGTATCATTTTAATTCCTGAAGTATTGAATATATTTTTATATGATCCCTCAAGTAAATAGTATCCACATTGCTAAAGATTTTTTATCATGAACTTGTCATTTAATACTTCAATATGGACAAAAAAATAATTTGATTAACTTTTGACTAATTTTCTATTCAAATTTTAGTTAAATAGATATTCAAATTACACAATTTTAATCATGAACTATTCAAATTTTGATCAAAAATTACTCATGTTATACATTTTTTTGNAAATAGTATCCACATTGCTAAAGATTTTTTATCATGAACTTGTCATTTAATACTTCAATATGGACAAAAAAATAATTTGATTAACTTTTGACTAATTTTCTATTCAAATTTTAGTTAAATAGATATTCAAATTACACAATTTTGATCATGAACTATTCAAATTTTGATCAAAAATTACTCATGTTATACATTTTTTTATCAATAGTTACCCAAAATTTTGTTTAAGAACTATTAAAATTATTTTTTATTCGTACTCCCTCCGCTTTTAAATATCTTTCGTTTAAGATTTTTGCACACAGATTAAGGAAACTATTAAATAGTTGTAATATGAGTACAAAATAATTGTACAAGACTAAAATACTCTTATTCAATACGTATTGGGAAGGAAAGNTACTCATGTTATACATTTTTTTATCAATAGTTACCCAAAATTTTGTTTAAGAACTATTAAAATTATTTTTTATTCGTACTCCCTCCGCTTTTAAATATCTTTCGTTTAAGATTTTTGCACACAGATTAAGGAAACTATTAAATAGTTGTAATATGAGTACAAAATAATTGTACAAGACTAAAATACCCTTATTCAATACATATTGGGAAGGAAAANCGCTTTTAAATATCTTTCGTTTAAGATTTTTGCACACAGATTAAGGAAACTATTAAATAGTTGTAATATGAGTACAAAATAATTGTACAAGACTAAAATACTCTTATTCAATACGTATTGGGAAGGAAAGAAATATGAAAGACACTTACCCTCCACTTAATCTAATGCATTGAAAAATTAAGGATAAATTTGGAAAAAAAAATATTAACTATGCTTTGATTTCATAAAACGACAGATATTATGGAACAAAAAAAATTATGTAAAACGACGGATATTTAAGAACANGCTTTGATTTCATAAAACGACAGATATTATGGAACAAAAAAAATTGTGTAAAACGACGGATATTTAGGAACGAATGGAGTATTTAGGTATTACTTGACAAATTTATAATCAAAAATTGTTAGTAAACTAAATTTTGCCCGTTTGAAGGATCATACAAAAATATATTTAATACTTTAAGGATTAAAATTATGCAATTGAAACATTGATGACTAAAATTAGACAAACTCNGAATGGAGTATTTAGGTATTACTTGACAAATTTATAATCAAAAATTGTTAGTAAACTAAATTTTGCCCGTTTGAAGGATCATACAAAAATATATTTAATAATTTAAGGATTAAAATTATGCAATTGAAACATTGATGACTAAAATTAGACAAACTCCATACTTTGAGTATATCCAGTGTAATTAACCCTAATTTAAATGATTTGTAAATATCATTAAAAATAATAAAATTATATATTTTATATTTTTATTAGATGAAAATTCAAGTATATTATAAAAAAATTATTTTTTCCTCCCATATTTAAATCCTTTTCCGTAGGCACTAAAGTTAAAGCAATNTGACTAAAATTAGACAAACTCCATACTTTGAGTATATCCAGTGTAATTAACCCTAATTTAAATGATTTGTAAATATCATTAAAAATAATAAAATTATATATTTTATATTTTTATTAGATGAAAATTCAAGTATATTATAAAAAATTTATTTTTTCCTCCCATATTTAAATCCTTTTCCGTAGGCACCAAGTTAAAGCAATGCGCCGTCCGTCACGCAGAACACTGGCTTTAGGAAGCGACGTCGTCTAATATAAGACGACTTCCATCGGAAACTAGTTTTACTCTCTCTCTCTCTCTCTCTCTGTGGTTTGGCGATGGCGAACGAGAATGAACCAGCGAAGCTCTTACTACCATACCTTCAACGAGCCGATGAGCTGCAAAAACATGAACCCCTCGTCGCTTACTACTGTAATTCTCTTTTTTTTTTACTTTTCTCTCTCTATCTCTCTCTCCGGGAACAATTTCTGAAAACCTGAACGATTTCATAATTTTAAACCCTAGCTTTCATAATTGTTTCTATTTTCGAGTTTTTGGCTCTCTCTCTCGATTTTTTTCCAAAAATTCGACGCCGTTTTACTCGGACTAAAGCGATCTTGTTCAGGTCGAGTGTATGCGATGGAACGAGGGTTGAAGATTCCGCAGAGCGAGCGTACTAAGACCACGAATTCCCTCCTTATTTCCCTCATGAATCAACTCGAAAAGGTCCAATTTGCTGTTTTTTATGTTCTCTTTTTAGTTTATTTTTTAGCCTTTTCTATTACTTATCGAGAGTTACAGGAAATGATTCGTAGCTAGGTAAGTTTTAAATGATTAAGTGCTTTTTATCGCACTATGATCATCTGGGTCTGTGTTTGGATGATTAGAAAACGGATTGAGAAGTGATCAGCAAAAACCAAAAGCTTCAATTTTTTTTTCTATATAGAATTAGGTTCTGAGCGTAAAATCTCATTTTTAGGGAGCCAAACAGTTTGTTTAAGGTGTTTTTAAGGGAGCCTTTTTCAAATGATGAGAAACTTATCATTAACTGTAACGATTAGTCTTCTTTGTCCTCTTGTCCACAACTGGGTATCCTAATTCATTGATTTACTATTGGGTTGGAGCTTGCAAAATTATGGGCTCTTTGTTGAGTACTTGAGGTCAGTCCAGGATTCAGAGCATAAATTCTTATCGGATAGAGTTGCATTCTGAGTTCACGGTATGATATTTCCAGATATCAGAGTTTTATTGTCTTCAGACTTCAGCCAATTTCTGTATTCTTGATTGAAACTGAGATTTATGACCTTGCCCAAGATCGTTTATTATTTTTTTCTTTAGAAAATAATTTGTATTATTTTTTTATTTAGAAAATAATTTGTATTATTTTTCTTGGCCAGTCTAGGGGAACGCGCATGGTGAGTTTTTTGTGTGGGTGGTTGGTTGGTTCTAGTCTTCACATTAAAGTTGTTTAGCTTTGTTTTTATATTAATTGAATTCATTAGTGTGATATGTTTCTGAATATTACTCGATGTATCATGTGATTTATATTACTACTGATTTCTTGTATTTCATATTTAACCCGTAGAAAGTTTTTGAATTAAAACTTCATAAATGACTACAAATGATGTCATTCCATTTAACTCTAAGGTCATTCATTGTCATTATCTGACTATGTATTATTTTGGTACCTGTCTTTCTATTGGTGCCCATAATTTTTGGTTTCTTTTATAGGATAAGAAGTCGCTGAAGTTGGGGCCTGATGACCATTTTCATCTGGAGGGATTTGGATTGAATGTTTTTGCAAAAGCAGACAAGCAAGATCGGGCTGGAAGAGCAGATTTGTACGATTGTTTGTCACTTCGTTTTGATAATAATCAACCATGTGCAACTAGTTTTCCAGTTATTGTGATGGTTAAAAATTACCATTTACCTTGTGAACCATATTTACAATTGTCTTCATGGTTTGCTCTTTGTCTTGAGGCCCACATCTAGGTGTTGCGATATGGTTCTAATTGTATGGGCCATGAGGTTTGCACTTGGTGCATCAGGTATTAAAAATGGATCTATTTACTAAATCTAATTTTAGAAGTTACTATAGGTACAGGTGACGCTGCTGGAACATATTTGTAGCTTAGGGCTTATAGCTTGTTGGTGGTTGGCAGCAGCTGCACTTGTCAATGTGCTTTTTTGTTACTCTTCCTTCAGCTTTATAAACTTGAATTGAAAAATTCATCACTTATTTCCAATTGAGGGTAGCCGGCCTTGATTCTTTAAGTGATCTGGATGCACTGAGCTTGCAATGGCCCTCTTAGGGCGGGATGGTTGGAAACATGTGTCATTGCTTACCTCAAATTGTGGTTTTTGTTTGAATTCTGTGCAGATTTTGTTGGAAATTTTGATTCAAAGATATAATTTAAATTAGTATATTAGTTTTCTTCTATGAAGATCTGTTCCCTTAACTTACCGAAAAGACAAAAAAGAAAGGTTTGTTCTGTTGATTATGCTTGATAAAAGCCCGAGGTACTTCATTGAGCGATGTTTATTGCTAACCTTATATGAGGATGAAATTTTTTGCCTCTATTTAGAAATTGCATGTACAGAAACTTTAGTTGTCTCAGTTTCTTTTTTTGGTACAGAAACACATTATCTCATTCGAATATCTTCTGATGGCATTGCATGACAATCTTTCCATTGTCAGAGATAATGTGTGTGACAAAAATCAGTGATCTGGTTGCTGCTTCTTATCTTGTCCTTTTGTTCCCTTCTGCATGAAATCTAATTTATGCAGAAATGTGTCGTCTAAGATGAGATCAAAGCTCTCCCTCTTCATCTAGNCTTATCTTGTCCTTTTGTTCCCTTCTGCATGAAATCTAATTTATGCAGAAATGTGTCATCTAAGATGAGATCAAAGCTCTCCCTCTTCATCAAATTGTTTGACGGCTATTGTTTTTGGAACTTGTAACAGGAATACTGCAAAGACTTTCTATGCTGCAAGCATTTTTTTCGAAATTCTTAATCAGTTCGGTGTGCTTCAGCCTGATGTGAGTTTTTGAGAAAATAATCTCCGTATTGATGGTTTATTGGCTCTACATGGTGTCTTGATCTACTCTTTATTTATTTTTTAAAGAATATTTTATTGACTAACTCTATTGTTTTTCATTTTTATGATCTGTAACAGCTCGAGGAGAAGCAGAAGTATGCAGCATGGAAAGCTGCAGATATAAGAAAAGCTTTAAAAGAAGGAAGGAAGCCTGTCCCAGGCCCCCCTAGTGGTGATGAAGATTTAGCAGTGCCATCAAGTACGCCAAGCACTGAATACGTATGATTCTATCCTTCGACGATATTTATGTAGTTAGCTAAGTTGAAAGACATGGCCATAATTAAACTTTGAGGAAAAAGGTGTAGATGGTTTGCTTGGTGATAATTGGAACTTTTGGGAGTGTACCTATTTGAAGTGTATGCCAGTTTATCTAAGATTCTCCTTTTTATATCCCTAACATGGGTTTAATGATTGTAGCTATTTCCCAAAAACTTGCAGATAGAAGAACCAATTCAAATGATACATTTTGGGACTTCTCATTACTTCGAAGATTTTTGGCCACCCTTACTAATTTCACTTCTAATCAACATTCAATGCATATTTTATCTTCCACATATGTTGTTGAAAATGTTAATTAGTGCCTTAGTTGTTTTTGGGAAGCTTGGATCACTGAATAGTTTCAGTCTCATGGTAATTTATTTGATTACACAAGTGCCGATGTTGAGGAAAGAGTCTCAAAAGAGAAGCTATGCATTTTGTGGTTGTTCTAACTACTTCTGTCTTTGCAGGATCTTGAGCCGAAAAGAATTGATCCAACCATTAGACTCGCACCAGAGTTTGATCCATCACCCGAGCTGTATGACAACGCTAAGAACCCCCAGCATTCCGCCAGAATTTCTTCATCTTCTTCTACAAATATTCTGCCATCACCTCCTTCAAATGTTCCACCTTCACCTCCTCCGTATTCTACTGACGAATATCCTTCCCATAACTTCAATCAACCTCCTCCAACAAACAGACCAGAAAATTCTGTGTACTCTCAGCCCTATCAACATCAACAATATCCGCAAGAACCCCAACAGCACTTGCCACAGGACTACTCTCATGATATTCCCTCTTATTCATTACCCAATTTCCAGTCCTACCCAAGTTTTGCGGAGAGTAGCCTTCCAGCAGCTCCATCTCATTGTCCATCATACTATCAGGGCTCTGATGCTTCCTATTCCAGCCCTGCAGCTTCTAACATGGCGAATTACCCACCAACCTCTCAATACAACGCAAGTGGTAGAAATGGGACTCTTTCAGAGGCTGTGCCAACTTCTGCACCAACTTACCAATATGATAGCAATTACCAGCCTCCACCTGAGAAAATTGCTGAGGCACACAAGGCAGCAAGATTTGCAGTTGGGGCTTTGGCATTCGATGATGTTTTTGTTGCTGTGGACCACCTTAAAAAATCACTTGAATTATTGACAAATCCATCAGCGGGTCAGTGAGTTTCTTTTTTAATTTTACAGAGCTGGGATTTGTTCCTGCAGTTATTTTAATTTGTTGGCTTTGTATGACTTCATTTGTAAATTTGATCGGATGTAATGCAAGAGAAGTTACTGTACTTGACCCATCAACTAACATGAAAGTCAAAAGGGTTATTTTTTCAGCATTAGTTTGCAGCTAGTTCGAAGGGAAGGTTTCTGGGTTAATGAATGAAAGTGTTTGCCATCCTTTTTCGCTGTTCCAAGGTAGGCCACCGTAATGTACCAATCACATGGCATTTATTCCTGATATTGTCTGGTGTATTATGTCTCGTGGTCCTCATGGATATCATAGTATTGCACCCCTGTTAATATCAACATGGCATGCTGCTATGTGTATGTCTGTCAGCACAACTCAAACCTAATATGAAATTAACAAGTTAAGAGTTAAATATAACTAGCATTTAGTGTTGAACATGACTGGACCTAAACTGAAAGCTAACTAGATTCACTACCATGCATAATACTGTTTTACTTGTTTTGTTCAGTTCTTTGTGACACATTTTAGAAGACAGTCTAGCATTCATCGCCGTTGGTCATGCAATGATAGTACCTCTCTCAGCCTTTTGATCAAGGGCAGCTTCATGGGGTAAAAACCAAACTTGTGTAAGTTATAATGCTCAAGTATAGCAGACCAGTGGGGATTATTGTGGTTTTAACTCGTGGAATGTGCCACAATTTTATACAGTGGCTAGCGATATGTTGTATTAAAGAGAGTTTGACTCTTCTACCTTGTATTTTTTTTGTGTTTATGTGTATCTTTGTGGACAAAGTAAAGCTGCCTTTGCTTTCATCGCCTATTTTACATTGCATGCCTTGGCCTAGAAAAAGTCAGACAAGACCAGGGGACGTTCGTCTTCATGCGCAGAGTGGTTTAACATGTTTTGGAACATTGTTCAGCGGATAGAGATTATGGCTATGCTTCAATTTGCTTTTATTCAGACATGTCCATCGTTAAGAACTAACCTGTCTGTCTATGTATATTCATTACCCTTGAAGAACTCGCCAAAGTTTCCCTTAAAATCTCATTGAGAACACAATTCTTTAGCACCCTCTTGGACCTGTTAGTTCATTCATGACAGGTTGATTCATTTGAGAAGAACCAAGAAATGGGAGATATCATATGTGGTTTCGGGCACCCGAGCCCTAAAAGATTGCCAAAACAACATTGTGAAGATCGCCATGTTGGTCTAATGGCTTCCATTGTCAAGTTCGTGAAGTGGAAAAGCTTATGGACAGCCATTAGAAAGAAGAGGAAGCAGTCGTACGGACAAGAAAAGCAACACCAACCGGTGAAGTATACCAATAAGGTTACACTAGCAGAATGGATCTTAGCTTCACCAGGCTTCAGCAATGGTTGCACCAGTGGAAGTGAATACAGTGGCCTTAACCAGTTTTCCGGTCGGGTTTATCCATCAGTGGAAGAAGACTGTGAATGCTTCACTATCAAACCGAGGGAGACTTCCCCGGTGGATAGACCGACGAGGGTTGATGGAGGAGAGATGATGGGTTTTTCGTTGAGCCAAAGCGGAAGTGGGAAGACAAAGAAAAAGGTGAGTTTCAGATTGCCAGTACTGGCTGATATATTCATTTTGGATTCACCAGAAGCACCCTTTGAGAGCTATTAAGGATGGTGTATTATATTTTTCAAGTGTAGAAAAACAGGTTTGCCATCATGTTTTCATTCAGAATCAGTGCATTTGATACTAGAAACATGGTTTAAATTCCTTTGGTGATAGTTGAACCCGAAAACCTTCCATGTGTTCATTCTACCACTGTTATCATTAACAACAGTTTCAACGCTTCAAGATCATATTCATTTATGCCAGAGTGAAGATCATATAATAACTAGGTTTGTGAACAAATCAAATTCTAACTTATCCTAATCCAGTTCCAATTTTCAAAAATCCAATCCGATAGTCTGACAAATTATATTTTCATAATCCATATCTAAATCTGTTAACAATCCAAAATTTAATCCAATTTGAATAACTTAATTAACTAAATTTTAACAAATTATACCTAAATTTATTTAAATAATCACTTAATTTCTTTAATATTTATATAAAAATATATAAATAATTCAAATCAAATCATAATCGAATTAGATACAATCATACAAGTATATCTAAATCTAAATCCGTAAAATATAGATCAACAGATTTGGATTCGGGTTTAGATTATCCATAAAAAATATTTATCCATATCCATCTATTCGAATTCGGATCATAATCCAATTCATTTATAAGCCTACTAATCACCGCATGAAGGTTTGTCACTAAGCAAAATGAAGACAATAACATTCAACACTAATGTACAGAGAAGACATTTTCCTCTGTTTGCTACAAAATTCTGAATTATCCGGCCAAACAAAGGAATCCATCCTCGGTAACATCCCGAGAAGAAACTAGTTTCTGTATCAAATTAATGACCCAAACCCACAATACCACAGAGCAAAGGATATGCCTATCATACATCACTTTGATATATTTAATATATAGGCCTTGGGTCACTAAGACGGGCATGAAAATTAGATTCATATTTGAATTGCTGCTGAGAAAATGAAGTCGACTAGAGCCAAAGCTACATATTGTACAAGAAATTCAGTATTAGAACTACCTTGATCAGTTGTCTATATGGGGGCTCTACAATTGGCTACCTGTTTTAAAAAAAAAAAAAATAGTTACAACCCTTAAAAGATAACTGAAAAAAACAAAATAAGAAAATCAAGCCACCAACGGGTAACTGTTAGGGTAATAGGGGTCTTAGGTTTCAAATTCTCACCATTGGAGATAACCAAGCATGACCTGGTCATGTGGGGGAAATTCTATTTAACAAGTTCTATACCAACCCGCAAATAGGAAACAAAACAGGGAAAGTCTTTGCCTATTTAATTACTTCCTCGTTTCATCTAAACATGAGCTCAAGCTCTAAGTTTTAGAGGTTTGAACTGAAGAAAGTATACTGAAAAGGGAAAAAATAAAAAAAAAACAAGCAGTAGGAGCAGATTTGAGATAGAAAGTGGAATTTTATATACCAAATGGTCAAGATCACCACCAAAGCATCTATATCTAGGGAAATTAATATAAATTGCGGCACATACATACCTCTTGTTCACGAAAACAAAATCAAAAATATAAACTGCATGCATATGACTTCTAATAAATACGACTAAACCCACAATTGCCCTACTCTAAGTGACCACATATTTTCGATATATAGAACAAAAACCTACAACATAAGGAAACTGCCACAAATAGTGCACCTGATTAAACAAAGAGCCAAGGAATAGCTGCAACAAGCATGGTAAAGAATGTCACCAAATAATCTATGACCTGTAACTAACCGGAAACAGCTCGGAATAGCTGTTTTGGTTCATCATAAAACCATCTGCAAAACAATCCATTTGGGCAAATTCAATGCAATGATAAGAAAATTTTCCCTACATGAATAAATTAAAAAAATAAGAACCAATGTACCCTGATAGAACCAACCCACATGAAAGGTAAGGCATGTTTGCCTTGGGCAATTAGTCTAAAGGCACATCATTTTATAAAAAGTAGTGAGTAAGCAATTAACAGAAGCAGGTTTATCAGGCTTTGTGCAACATTATAGTCAGACCACTCAATATTTAAAAAATACCTCCTCTATCAGCATGTATTTTACTGGCTTCACCATTTGAAAATTAGTTCGAAAGCTGTCATGGTGAATACTGATATGAACTATATATTAAAACCGTAAAAGATTAAAATCCATTAATATTGTTCTAGAGAATGGAAGCATATGGAAATGGTTAACAATCAAGACAAGATTTTGTAATCAAGCTAACGGTCATAGAAAAAATTTCTTTCTAAGCCCCACTCAAGCAGAAAAGCAAACTCACTTGAGCGTTAGTCAGGCTGAAATATGGAGTTTTAGTGTATATAGTCAGACACAAATTTCCAAGAGCAACATGCAGTCTCCCAATTGGGCCCCCATTCCCCAACAATTGTGGTGTGCTGCATCAAGGCCAAGACCTTGGAAGCATATATCCTTCTCACATCCTCAATATGACCCAGTCATAAAGAACTATTTACTGTCTATGATTCCATTCTCCCATGAAAATCTTGCAAAAGCTAAGGATTTCAGGTACCAGACCAGTAAAGAATTTTTAAACCTTATAGATGAAGGGGTGGTGGAAGATGTCTGATCAATTAATCTGAATGTAGTTTCAAAAGTTTTCTTATGCTTCAAGATGAGGAGGAAAATCTAGAGGGAGTAAAAACATGGAAACCCGAGATTGGAAACCCATAAAACAAATACCCAAGGTGGAATCACTTAAGGCCCTTCAGCTGTATTCCGAGTTTACTAAACTGATGCAGCCACACACCATTTCAAATGCTTAAAATTCCCACTCAAAAGATAGCATTTACAATCCTTCCCAAAAAGTGGATGGGAAAATGGAAACAAAAAAGAACCATCTACTTCTACTGTAGTACATTTTTTCCCTTTAGGCGATGCCACTCTGTAGTATGTCCTATGCAAGGTCTAATATATAAAATCACATTTCCACGGTTGATAAACAAAGACCACCAAGTTTCCTTTACTTCTGCTAACCAAACAAACAAAACAGAAAAATCAATATCCTTTCTTCTCTTACCTTTCTCTGTCACTCCAACATTATAGTTCCTAAATCTTACATCCTTCCTACCACACACAGCCTTGACCATGCACACTAAGAACATAAAAGCCTGCAAAACAGGATCTGGGATACAGTCTCCTAACGAAGAATGTTTGAGTTTTGAAAAGCTTTGGGTTCTCCCCTCTTCACACAATAAAGCCCAAGGAAAAGTTGAACGTTAAAAAAAGCACTCCAAAAAGGGCGGCATTCTACTAAAAGTGAATTACAACAGATCTAAGTATCTAACAGTTTAGCAACCCACCAAATTAATTCCTTTACACTAAGAGGATCATTCTCCCGCTTGAACCTCATTAATCGAGGGTGATGGGAGGTTGAAGGATCTCAACCTTTGTGCATGATTTGCACAAAGTGGTTGTCCTTAGAAGTGAGCTCACAATTTCACCATTGTCAACCCAATACTTGTGTCACTGCACTATGCAATTCTCCTTATAATTGTTTAAACTTCTCATAATTATATCCAGCCCAACCAAAATCATGAGGTTCCCAAACATATTATTCTGTAAAACCTCTTCACTAATGGTAAGGCTTTTTTACTTCTGCTATCCTTGTTGAATGTCTAGAGAGGAAGGATGGAAGTTAAGAGCATGAATGCAAATTTTGAGGAGACAAAAGACTTCAATATAATAATTGAAACCCATATTCTAATGCTTTTTCGATATATGAACAAGATGACTATAGAAGAGTTGGTGAACATTGTTCTCTGACTCATAGCTCTAAGATGACTAGCATGAATGAGCCGGCTTCAACACCACCTAGACTCTTAATCATAGACAGACTTGCGACCTCAACATAAAAGGATGATGATGGCCAGTCTATTTGTATCAGTGTTTTAAAATCCCGCTCGGCCCGGCCCGGCCCGACGGGTCAACCAGATGAACCGGTCCCCTAACCGGGCCAATTCTATTACAGGACCGTTTATGCGAAGAACCCGGAATAAACCCGTTGAACCGGTAAAAACCGGTAAACCCAGAGAACCGGACGAATTTAGAAAATCGGACGGTTTAATTTCATTTCTATAAATATGAGATATTTTCAATCTTTTGGGCATTTTGTGCTTTTCCCCTTTTGTGTTGCCCTAAATCGCTCCAGACCAGACGCCTCCAACACCAACGACTGACTAGCGATCAGACCAACGAGTAACAACAATCTATTCTCCGGTCCAGCCTCCACTCCAACACTAGCAACGACCAGCAACCAGACCAAACCCCAACAGTCAACTCCAGCAATTCCAGTCCAATGAGTTTCCCTCACTCTCTCTCTCTCTCTCTCTCTCTCTCTCTCCTTTTTCTCTCTCTCTTTTGAACTTCAATCCATCAACTTCCAGTGGGTATGAGATTAAAATTTGAGTGGTCGATGATCTGGAGAAAGCAAAGCACAGATCAGATGGTGGAAGAAAGCAAATCGCCGCCACCAAACGCTCAACTCTTTGGGCTCCTCTTCAGTCTTCTCCAGCAAGTACAACAACATTTCTTCACAACCTTGTTTTGTCAGGTTTATGTGCAAGTAGAGTATGTAAAATTAAAGAATTCGATTAATTTTTGAATTTTTTGATGCAATTTCTGATCTGGGTATTTCAATTGATTGGTTTTATAGTTTGGGTTTTCAGTATGTTTGAGAATTGAATGGGGATTTACTTGTTCGGGAGCAAATTTGAATGTTTAATCTTGCTATTAGTTTAATATGGGTTTTGTTTGACTGAGGGATATCTGAGATGGATTGAATTCCCCTTGAAGAGTAGTGAAATTAACCAGATGATTCAAATTATAAAAAAAAACATTATCCATAGTACCATTAAACAACGTAATGGCCCCTATGATTCAAAACTTATATAGACACATTATCTTTTGAATGCTTTGTCCTATTCTTTTAATGCTTTTGACAATGTCCAGTATGAAATTGGATACATGTTTGATGATTTTTCTCTACTTAACTTTACATATTTGATATTATTTTTATAATTATTGTGATTTTTTAGCCTATTTATAATTATTTTTTAATTTTTTATTATATTACCGGTTCGACCAGTGACCCAACAATTGAACCAATGGCCCATTGACCCGATCCCTTCACCGGGTTGATGTCCGGGCCGGGTTTTAAAACTAGGAGTTGTATGCATTGGCTTAATTCACTCCTAACCTCCCTAGACATTGCAAAGAACACAAAAATGAAAACTGTCCAGTGAAGACTGTATAAGGGAACGAGAAAGGGGTTTGATAAGAAAGAGTTTGGGAGGGTCTCGCTTAGTTAACAAACATTGAGTTTGAAGTCGAGGCAGCATGGATACGAAACTATTTAAGTGAAGTTTAGAATCATTATGGTTTTCTATCTTTAGATTACCAAATTGGAAAATTGTCAAGGCCTTTCAGCGATTCAAGGCCCCCCCTACGCGTCACGTTTCACCTACCTATCCTCAGATAGAATTGAGTCGATTCTCCTAATGATGCATATTTTAATGATCCCAACCATTACCATATTTCTAATACAATTATCATGCTTCATTAACTATAGAAATGCAAACCTAATTACTAGAGAAAGTCAACCCATGTATCAGTAAACCCACAAACATGCACAAAATAGTTTTCAACACCATGCACCTTCCGCATGAACACAATCATAAGTAATAGTGAAAAATTTTAGGGACAAATGTAAGAAACGTACTTGCACAGGAAAATTGGCCGTAATCTCTCATTTGCCTCCATCCCTAAAAGAGCTCTTGTTTCACTTTCTTCAATAAACTTGCTTGGGGTAAGAACTTGACATGGTCCTTGAATAAAGGCAGCCATTAATGTGCTCTCGTGATTGGACTCGTACACCTACAACAAAGCATCAAGGAGTTCATATAACTCTAAATGCATAACCTGAACTTTTTGCTTAAATGTCAATCTGGTTCAAGCATATGACCTTCCTGCAGGATAAGATATTTGACAAGTTGCTCTATAAGCTTCCGCTGCTCGATAGAGGTATTAAAATATATTCCAACAGATTTAGCCTATCAGTCAATTTTTCTAGTACTCTTCAAGATTTTTACTTCACTATATTGAACAGGAAAAAAAAATCTATTCACACAAATTTGGCCATATGGCAACCGCTTCAATAGCATGCTTGGACAGTCATGCACACAGACAAGAAATGTCATAATATACTAAATACGTGTTAACAATTCACCTCATTGCTTTCTGGCGCAGGAGGGCAGCCAACCTCCTCCGGCAAGTCAACAGGAAAGTAACACCGATGAACAGTAACCCATTTTGATCTGGTTTTGCTATCCTCCCACATGGCCTGCAGTGAAAAATCAAGATTTTTCCAAATTCATAATAAAAAAAATCAGATTTATAGAATTTTGCGACAATTTGTTTCTACTCAAGCGAATTCCTATAAGAGACTAAATAATAAATCTACCACTTTGCAGTGCTACTACTGTGGGCATAGCAAGAAGGCGGGTAGGAACAAAGCAGGAAATACCCAACCCAATACCACTCAAACTAGTCATGTACTTAGCAAGATAACATAATAACCCATCAGGTGGGCAGATCTTACTCGTTCACAAGGGTTTGAAAGGATTGAGGCCATTATAACTTTTGCAGAGCAAATCCTAGACAGGTTTCAGTGGAGTTGGCAGGCCGGTTTAGAAACTACAACCCTCACAGCAGGTAAGAACTAGTACATCAGAGACAAAATCTTAAAGGTATGACAAGTACACTTATGGATAATTCATAAAATGTTCAATTAATTGCTCACCTGAAGCTTAGAAGGCATCATTTTGTTGTTAGAACGAAAAAGAACATAATCCTGAACTTTATATGCAACTCCATTGACGCAGAAAGACTGGTAATATGTTTTCTCATCCGCTACTTGGAGTACATCGCCTATCCAATCAACACCATGTAAGCCGTCTGAAGAAGACCCATTATCTGTAGCCCCAATACTGGTTCCAGAAGCTTCAACAGGATTAGCTTGGGTAACTCCTTGCTTGTCTTGCTTAGTATCATGATCTGAATCACAGTTTAAATTTTCTCCACCACAAGGTTTCTCCGAATCCTCAAGCATATGGTTGTCATTAGGACATTGCTTTAATGGAATTTCAGAACTGTTTGCCAGCAATATTGGGTCATTATCTTGGGCATTGCCAGGGGCTTGTGATTCAGAGGTGACTATCTCAGATTTTGCAGGAGAATGTGACTTTGATTCAGAAACCAGTTTATCTTCACGTGTTCTTTCACCTGACAAGCCAGCAGGAGAAACACATGCAGCCACTGAGGCTTTCTTCAAGTTATTTGGACAATGATTGGGAGGCGGCTTGCCATCTATATTTCCTTTACTTAATACAATATCATTTCCTTGCATTTCTCCGTCAAGTACCGTCTTTAAACCAGATGCTGGATGGCTACTGCTATTGCCCATGGTACCAGTAGGAGCACTTAGTAAATTAGAGTTTCCATTTGCTGATATCTTTGGCTGACTCACTTTCTCAGCTAAACTCCCCATTTTCTTCCCTACAGGTGACTGAACAGAGGAAGTGATTGAAGACATTTTAGGTGCATTTATATTCCTTGTGACCCGACCGTACTTGGGGGGCAAGGGTTTCCCCTGGCTTAATGCCAAACACTTTCCACAATGCCATTCACCTCTAGGAACAGCCTTTTGATTAGAAGACTGTAGGCATTTTAAGTGGAACCCTTTCTCGCATGCATCACAAACAAGAACACTGTCCACATCATTAATAGTTTGCTTGCACTCTTGGCAAGTCACAGCCTTATTCATATAATCCCTTGATGGAGGAATCCATGTTGGGTGCTGCGGGAGCTGTGGGTGTAATAACTTCTGAACAATTTTACCAATTTCATTGTGGCCATTGCCCACAGAGGGAGCTTGAACAAAATTCATTCCATGTAAATGTTGATGCATGCTCGGGGCTTGACTTGTAAATGGCTTAGATGATACTGCCTGAGGGGTCATCGGTGATATCCTCATATCAGCAGCCCCCTCAACTTTAGCAGAAGTATGAGATGGCACCTTATTATCTGATCCAACTTTAGCTGATGAAGCAGACTGGGTTTGCACCGACCACGTTGGGGTTTTCCCAAATGTGTGATCACCAGAAGAATTTGCTGCAAATAGATGTTATTTCTGTGATCATTAAAAACATCAACACAAAGAATAGAAAGTTGACAATGTAATGCATAAATGTCGATACGAAGGTAACCTAATATGACCAAACTTCCTGACAAAAAAAACAGTACAGCACTTTTTCACAAAAACGATGATAAAATGCTGAAATAAAACACATGTCAAAAGAAGTAAGTCAGGGAACATGTTTCAATTGTAATGTCCAAAAAAGGGGTAGAATTTGGAATAATTCCTGACCATTTGAACATTTTGTTCAAGGAAATAATGATTACACACATAATTGTTGTATCATACGATATATATATCGTACGATACATTTCGATACATGAAAAAACAGATATGTATTACTAAAGTATATCGTATTTGCACTGTATCAGGCAATACACAATATGATACATCCGATACAATACATACAAGTCATCCAACAGGGCGAAACAAGTCAATTTTTTTATTATTATTTTAAACATCGCATGAGCAAATAGTTTGGTTGTTAAAAGTGTCCTCCTCTGACTCCTCTATATGTTTGAACTAGAACAATCTCTAAATTTTGATATTGATGAATTACGTTAGAACCTTAAATACTTAGATTGTTAACTCATTGTTTTGGTCCTTGTAGCCTATTTAAATTATTCTGTGAGAAATTTACGGTGCAATGAAATGCTATTAAGACCTTTTCTCATAAGTATACTTATTTTTTAATATCTTTTATAAAACTGCACGTATTTTACGATACACTATATGGTACAATACGCAACACACAATTTTTGAAAAACGATATGCCTTCCAATATACGTTTTGACAACCTTGATTACACGTACTCAATGAAATAAACTTCGTATTTAGAAGAGACCACATAATATTGTGGTGTGGTGGTTAAGATGATTATTACGATGATGTTGTTAAAACATTTTGTTAAAGCAAATAATAATTACACATACTCAATGAAATAAACTTCATATTTAGAAGAGACCATATAATACTGTGGTGTGGTGGTTATGATGATCATTACGATAATATTGGTACTATCCCAGAAAAGTTTGACGTTACTAACAGAAATATTGGTGACCCACTACAGGCATACCCCTTACATATGAATTTTATCTACTACTATTCCCTAAGCCAGTCTTGGCTTCTGATCAAGGATCTTCTTATGATGTCTGCAAAACAGATCTTCCACCATTATTCACAATTGATAAAGAAGGGGTACCTGGGGCTTGTAATACGTAGGAAGAACCATTTGATCTTTCATCCAGTCTGAAATGTGGTCGTTCAACTTTAGGCAATTCTAATGAAGAATCCCTTCCCAGATGACTGCTAGTCAATCCACTGGAAACCATTGGTCTTACTTCGCTGGTGGGCAACTGATATGGCAAAGATGTAGAATTTGCTGCAGAAACAGGTTGAAAGCCTCCAGAAGAAACTGGTGAGGGCTTATCTGATGGAAACATTCGAACAGCATGTGATGTCCCACGGTTTTCAGTGGCTGCACCAGAATTCGTTTGTAAACGTTGAGATAAATATGCAGCAGAAGATTTTTCCATCTGCAAAAAAAAAAATTGAAAAATAAAAAGCACAATTTAAACACTTCAGTTATAGAACCAACTGTGGGACAGGCATATTCATAATAGTCCACTTCGATCAGCAAAGTGGAGTACTCCATTAAATACATCATTAAAGATAGGCATGTTTTGTACTTGAAAGAATGAAAACTCTTCTTATTGGATGATCATGATACTTCCCCAAAATCGAAATTCTTAATCAATGGACGAACAATATCACCATTTTTATTCAATGAGATACCAAAGTGGGGAACAACAATTGTCCCCCCGTCAAAAGCTTGCACATAGGCTATGCACTAAATTCGTATCATGTACAAAATTTAGCATTTAACTACACAACATTTTAATTAGCACTAAGATACCAAGGCTAAAGAAAAACAAAACCTCCATCAACAATCATTAAAAATAAAAACATGAAAAAAAAAAAATTTGAACACTCAAAGACAAGTTCCCTAATGATTGATTTCAATGGCATCCTTCGGGAACATTCATTGCCAGTCTGCAAATTTCACATGTAAAGGAAACACTTAAGATTCATCAAATGTATTGCAAAACCATGGGCTTGAAGAAGGTCACGCAGGTGAATGTTAAAATCACTAGGCCAAACGTAGTTACTTAAGAGAGATCATGTACTTGTGTTTACAGCAAGTGGAGAAGTGCTAATTGAGTGTCAACATAATGAAACAAGAAACCAAATTTAGGTGATCCTTACAAGAAGATGTAAGCAAGACTCGTATGTGATTCAGAGAATAACCACCAGAGTGAATCCAAATCAAAAATGACAATGGAACTGATATTGTAACTTACTAACCTGGATATCACAAATAATAGTCCCATCCTTTAGAGTGGTAAAATAACCTTTTTTCTTTTCTCCAACCACCCAATCAAATCCAGATGAGCAACAAAACGGATAACAATTAAGCAAGTGCAGTGGTCGGAGTTTGATGAAAATGATGCTATTAGATGAAGAAGAAATCAAAAGAGATTAGTCTACAGAAGAATGTTAACTTGCAGGCCACCTCAAAAATGCATCAAATCATAATTTTTTTCCGATGCGGAGCCCAGGAAATAATCCTCATGCAGTGCTTCACCCTTATAGTAAAGAGCTAAATGCACCAAGCAAATTTCAGACCTCATTGCTCCTCTGCTAACTTAACACACAAACACATATACATATGCCAGCAGTTTTTTCCAATATTCTCTCTCTTTTTTCTCCAAAATGTGAAACTAGTGTTATTGATCATCATCCATATTCCTTATTCTCTACTTACCCCACTTCTTAATGTGTAAGTGGAGCGTATCCCTTACAATGATTGTTTCCAAAGGCAAAACCAAAAGGAGAAGCACTTCAAAAGAAGTGATTGTTGGACTTACAAGTTTTGGTTTTGAAATTTTTGGATGGATTGATGCTCCTAAATCATGTGATTCCCTTCGAAATCAGTATTTAAAAATTAATCTTCTGCTATGACATTCAATCTTTGAACAGCCGGCAATTTTCTCCTTCGAATCCTTCATCTCAAGATATTTGACAAATTATCTCTTTAACATAATCTCCCTTCTACCCACTATTCTACAACAAAAAATTCTCTTCTACTGATACAAACTTTACCTACTATAGATAAATCCAACACAGCAGATGTACAATATCTATAAAAATATTGTAAATTAAAACCATGAACCATCTAAATATAAATTGAAAAGTTAAAAGTGAAATGCCAATTCAAGCCTAACCTTACGCTTGGTGATCAACAACTTCTCTGCAATCGACATCTTGGGAGGCCGAAACCCTAACCTCTGTTCCCTCAAATTATTGAGCCCAAGATCTTCAATAACTGTTCCAAATGCGTCCCTCGGAAACACATCCTTCGGCGCAAACCCTCCACACACTTCCACCAACTTTGTTCTCGCCTCCGCCATCATCTCCTTCTCCGCCACCGTTGGACTCCTCCCTCCCCTCATCTTCCCCATCGCTGCCAACACCATCACTATCTCCGCCACCTTCTTCATATTCCCCACCACTCCACCACCACCACCAAATCTCCCCTTCTTCGCCACTGGTCCCTCCAATTCAACATCTTCCCCATCCTCCGCCAGCCTCTTTTCACCTAACCCCTCCGATCTCACCTCGAACGAATCCCTAGATTCAATCTCCACCGTCGACTCCATTCTCTACGTATCGCTCACCGAACAAAGTCCATAAACGTCGTCTTCTTAGCGTTTTGTGATAAAATTCACCTAAAATCACCGGTGTTTCCCTCAGAAACCTGCAAATAAGAGAGAGATGAGTAGCCATGGGAACGAGGGAGAGGGGGAGAGGAAACCCTAGAGAGAGAAAGATAGGCGTAGAGAGAGAGACGTTTAGATTTATGAGAATACGAAATTTTAATCGGTTAAATATATACCTTTTTGGCGGGTAATTGGAAGGAGAAGAGAGAGAGAGGGGCTCGTGAAGTGTATTTGTGTAATGTTTGTAAGTAGTAGCGAGGTCGTTCGGGTGTGTGGGAGAGGCGTAAACTGAGCAGGGAGGGATAGAGACTAGAGAGAGAAAGAGAGCGAGAGCCCTTTTTTAATTTTGGGTTACAAATAATTGGGATTTTTTTTTTATTATTTATTTTCTACTACGGTTCGGTGTATTGTTTCTACGCTGATAATTACAATGACTTCCCCTGTAGTTCGGAATGATTTCAAGGAGTGCCTTTATAGTTTTAAAAATTGTGCTAATAGCCCCTTTTAATTGGAAGTTAAATTTCAAATAGTACCATTACATTGACGAAATCTGTTGCACACTTTTTTTGTAAATTTTTTTACTTTTAAACTACAAAAAAATCCATACTCTCCATTTTTTTTAAAAAAAAATTAAAAATTTTGATAATTGACCATCCCTTCCCCCCTCCAACATCCACACCTCCCCCATATAGAGGTGTTAATCGAGCTGAATTTATACATAAACAAATTGGCTCATTTAACTATTTACACATAAACAAGCTTTAAAAAATGTTCAAATTTGATTTGTTTAACAACCCTACTCCCATGCCCCTTGGTGGCAACCCTATTGAATTAACTTATATAATCTACCCTATTCTTCCAATTACAACTCACTTCATACCCCCAACTATCAATCCCCAATCTATTTTCTCTTCCCCTTCATCCATTCTTTCTCGTTCTTTACAATCACTCATTACCAACTAAAACCCCCAACACCTCTATTCTCACCTTTCAAAAACTCTCCCTAACAACCACCATATGAATATCCACGATCTCCCCATCCCTTCGACCACCCATCACTAACATTTTTGTCCACCCCAACTTATCTCTAGAACCAAAACCACCACCTCAAACCTACATTATACCCCATTTTTTAACTAAATCAAACATTAACCCCAGGGACTTACACCTCCTACCACGTTAAAATATTCAAATCAAGTAGATTAGTCATTTTATACCTTGGTAAACAATGAAAATTCACCATTTAATTACTAACATAATTTGATAGAAGTATCAATGGAATTCTAAAAACCACGAGGGGTATCATTATAATTATCCCATTCAAATCAAAGCCCCTAAAATAAAAGGGATTTTTGTACACTGGTACAAAATATAGGATTTAATTATGTACAAATCATTCGGGTAAAAATTATTTGTAGAGATGTCCTTTTTATTTGTGATAGCCAAAAATTATGAGAATCAAGGGGTTGATCTTCCTTTTTAAACTTAATCTTCAAATAAAGCATTCATTCATTTAAAATTCAAAAAAGGGTAATTCTTTATATACCAAATTTGTGCTTTAAAATTTGCACAAAATCAATTGCAGTATTTAAATTAGTGATGGAATCCACTAATCTAACGACTGCAGGTGATTTAATGCAAATTTTGGTACACAAATTTGATACATATAGCATTGCTCTTCAAAAAAATCCTCTCCACCTATTAATTATCTCAAAAAAAGAGGATTTTTAATAAACTTGTTTATATTCTACAACGACAAAGATACGGTTTTAAGAATATAGTGTACATCACAGTGACACTATTATTTTTGTCACACAGTGGACACAATTTTATTTGTCACATTGTGACAAATAATGTGTATTTACATTGTTTGATTGCTTGATAAACTAAATGATATGCTTGACACAGTGTGACATAAAAATAATGTGTTGGTTGTACCCAATATTATTTTTCACACTGTAATAAAATATTGTGCCATAGTATAACAATATATTGGACACTAACGGAAGGCACCATCGTTGATTCACGACTACCGCTAATTAACATTAAAAAATTGGTCATATTTTTCATCAAATATGAAAATAAAAATATTATTAATGATATATTCTACCCATTTCAAAATTAAAAATGATGTTAACAAATTATTGAAGTAGAAGAACAAACGACTTGTGGGTGGAAACAACAAATGTTGAAGAAGAAGAAGTATATAATCTATGAGTGGAAATCATAGACATTAAAGTAGAAGACAAACACAAGATGTTGGAGTAAAAAAGTTGAACTAGAAAAAAGTTTAAGAAAAACGAACACCATACGTTAAAGTAAAATCATATAATATATGAATTATGAAAATGATATTGTAGTAAAGGAAAAATTAAAAAAAATTGTCATCGTGTATTTAAAAATAATACATTTCCAAATAGTAGTACTTTTCAACAATACATTTTTAGTAAAGTATTTTTTCACAAATAAAAAATTTATGTGGCACTTATCTACAATTTTCGGAATAAAATCCCAAGATTTTAACTAAAACTCAACACCGGGAAAAAAAAAGAGCCCAAGATTTAAAGTAAAACTCAACAACTTTTATTTAGTAGAATTTGAAGAGAATTATGGATGACCAACTTTTCATAATCCATCAATATTACTGTTATTGATTTAATTATAGTTCTTAGTATTGATTGAGACTTACTACTTATTCAATAGTTGTGAAGTGTGATAGATGGAGCCAACAAATAGTATCAATATTTTTTTATCTAAATAACATTTTTCGTGAATATAATATAGGTAAACACAAAGAGTTTGACCGTATTACCCGTTAAATAGAAATTACATACGCAATGATGAAAATCTACCACTCTTTGTTTGTTTCAATAAAAATGACCATTAATATCACACCATTTGCAAAAATATTAATACCACATCCTTTTTACTTGAACATTCTATTTAAAAATTATATTTGTGATATATCTTCTTAAAAATTTATTTTAAAATTATATTTATTTTGGTGGCTTTTGGTTTAACTCTTTTGTACTAAAGTGATACAAAACCAACAAACATGAACAAAGGTCATTTTTGTTCATTATGTTAGATGTAGACTTTCTAATACACTTGCGCTTTCTATGTGGCTCTCTCACTTGAATTCATGGTGGTGAGCTACCATCAAGTAAAATTACATTATATTGATTATTCCGTCTAAATAATTGTTCGCACAGGACAATTAGATCTGATAATTGTTTGAATTAAGTTTATGTTTTTGTTTTACATTGATAGATCATTATTTCAATGAATAATTAATGATTATAACTTGAAATACAAGAGAATAAAACAAATACATAGGGTGACGAGAATCCCAAACTAAGATAAAATAGAACCCCCATTGAGAGGAGCATAAAAAATCAAGTCATGACTTTGACAAAGATTAACCTCGTCTTATTAAATAGTAAAATTGGAAGAAAATTACAGATGACCAACTAATTGAACTATGGGTGGTCAACTAGGCTAACCCAACTAGTTTGTCCACAATCTACATGAGTTGGTGTGTCATATTTGAATTAAAATCGAATTGAATCGATCCAAGGAGGCCTTGCACACAAGTTTGGTTAAGTAGGATCAAAATTCCTTTAAATACATATTCACTCTATTTTCCTCTTGTATTAATCACCAACTTTTTATTAACGAAGAACCGATTTATATACATTTGGTTCTATTTGTATTCACCCTACTTTATCAAGAGAGAGAAAATATAAATATTAGAGAGAATCTTGCTCCAGTCAAGTGGGCCACAAGACTGATTTCCCATTCATACTGGCAATTAGCAAGTAATAATTTCTCCACTCTTTTCTCGAAAAATTTGTAAGTTAATACACCCTTCAACTTGCATTGACAACTTGGGTGTTATAACTAACAACAATGTCCAATATGTATACAGATTCTGTATAACATCAACACCATTATTTCACATGCATGAAGCAACTATAAAACTTAATCTCAATGTATATACCTACCAATGTATTGGTACAACTAGATCCTAACACAATTGTCACAACAATATGTGGTTGTAGTTACAAATGGTTAATAGACATTGTTCTGTTAATAGCTCCAACATCACTGCAAATCACAATCCTTGAACCAATGGTGAGGATTTGAGCATTCTGAAGTGTGTACCCATACAGAACTGGCAATGGATATCCTCTCCAGAGTAGTAAATTCACGTACGGGAAGATGATGGTTTTCAATAGAGTTAACATTACTGTCTGCAAACATTATTAAACCTTTGTGAATGTTTATGATCAACGAAATTAGAACATAGCAATTCGTTAGTAACATAACTATCATGTTTGTTAGTATAATTGACATGAGTAATGAAATGAACAACATCAACATACAAGGAAAACAGAAGTGCCAAATAATGCATTGGGTGAAAAAGGAAAAAAATGTGAATGATCCAATTAATCAACTCATTAATGTAAAACTGCTCAAAGTTTATGGTTTATATAATGAGCAACCAAGACCAACAGAGCCGTCACAGATTCCACTTTTACAGCTTGTTTAGTCAGAAGGGGCAACACAGCAAAGTCACACCCTTGCTGCTATTGAAGTACGCATCATACTTGCTTCAGAAATTCATTCTTAGGTCACGTAGTGACAACTTGGGAAGTACAACTAAACAAATGGGCCAAGAAGTTAGAAAGTAAACCATACTTCGGTAAGCAGAAAAAATGAGAAACAAATCATTTTGGATATTTTGCACAATGCTATCAAACATATTCCAAGTAATAAAAATCAAAGACATATCAGGATGGGACTCAAGGTTCAGCCCCGTGAGCTTGCAAACTCAAAGAAGCCACTAGGCTCTGAATCTTAGGACAATTCACATGCTTGTCAAGTTTTTCTAAAACAAGCAGGACACGATGTTCAAAATCAAGTTTAATCTTATGTTCAGAATAGTTAATGTTAAATCCTCACATTATGATGCTCATTGTTGTAGTGGAATACCTGAATTAAACGCATGTGCAATTTACCAATCTTGCTCCACTTCAAAGATACAGAAAAGTCGTCCAATTTAACACTACCAGCTAGAGCATTCCTCGAGATTTCTGGAGAAGCTGAAGCACTAATCACCTACGTCAAACAATACTACTCATCACATCCAACTCTCCACGAATTAAAGTTCCAAAGAGAAACCAGAAAGATGAAAGAGACCATGGGGTGTTGCAAAAGTCTCTCTCTCTGGAACAACCAATGCTTTTTCAAATCACAACTCTATAGTAGGTAACAAGACTCCAGACTCTAGACTATAGATAATTAGTCATGCCTAAAGGTGACCAATTATATGAGCTAGATATAACTGTCAAAGCTAATCTGAGCTTCATAATCCATGTAATGATCTAACACGACATTTAAATGAGTATGAAAAAACTTCTTCTGCTTGCAAAAACAAGTGGTTCATTTGGGTCGTATTACATAAAGACGAAACCAATAACCAAATGCACAGAAATCCGTAAAATATTCATCATTCATTTCATAGGATAACAGGCAATAGATTGATAAAGGTCACCATAAAGTCAATTGATTAGGCATGCAAGGTCCTCCCAGAAAATCTACAACTAGGATCAATGCCAAGCAAACAAGGTGAATACTCATTGTTATTTAATGACGGAACCCCTAGTCCTCTTTTTCTCCAACACTATGATTTATTTGGACATTTTGTGAAGCAAACAAAACATGATGGTCATTTTTAATAGTAGTAATGTAAAGCTTTGTCTCGATAAGTCTAGACTCATGCAAACATCATTGGAAGAGATATCGGAGAAGGCTTCTTTTACATGGAGTGCTAAATTTCAAGTTCAAGGATTCTGATAATTGCTCTGCTAGACGACATAAGGGTTACCCATCAACTAATAATCACAAACAAATTTGGTAGCAATGTTTATTTATTCTTCCAAATATACAAAGTGATGCACATTATCGTGTTGTATGTCTAAAATAGAATCGCATCCAAAGTTCTTTTAGATTCAATATATCGACACAAGTAATTAGAAGAAACAAATAAATTGTTATGCATATATAATATCCAATTATGTGTAAACAACTGGAAGGGACTTCTTAATCCGATGAAAAAACTGTCCTCTCTCTCTCTCTCCTTACCAGCTTGCACGTCATGCAGTCATCACAATTAGATTTACAGGCAAAAACTTAGTGTTATTCCAGATTTAGTCATTATTTGTGTTTTTTTTTTTTGGGGAGGCGAGGGGGAAAGGTAAATTCAAGCATTAGTTTCACTATTTACCATTCATGAAGCCAATGATTCGTGCACTCAAAGAACCACCAAAAAACGAATGGGGACAAAAGAAAATAAGTTGTGAAGTAGATAGTTCATTGAGGCTATAGCTTAAACATTATGCACGTTCCAATCAAACTTACCAGTTAAATGCATACAACTGGAATTACATCGCCGGTATCCAAAACATCAAGTGTCACATCTGAGTGAACTGTACCATGAATACCCTCATTTTCAACTTTTATAATTGGTGGAGAAGATACAGAAATATTCAGCTTCAGGTCATCATTTGGGTATAGCTTGTAAAGTTGAGGGACAACATATCTCCATCTAGCAGTGTTCAACAAGGCCTGATCCGGTATTTTGTCAACAATCCAGTGCATCAAATCTGCCTGAAACATAGACCAAAGTATTAACATGACAATCAACATGCAGTTCAGTTCAGTCTCAGATGTAGATATGAAAGTGAAACTTGAGCAAGGCCAAGGAGAAAGTAAGCCCGTCTGAGGCTTTGAGCTGTGAAGTTATGGACTTAAACGAGTAAAATATGATTAGGTAGCTTGAACCGTGATACTAAGTTTTTCTTTCCTGATAAATAGACCAATTATACTATATGAAAAAGATCAATTCTTAATACAAACCACTATGAAACATGCACATATGGGTTACAGAATAACATAATAGGTACTCATTAGGAGAGTGCTCAATGTTTGTCAATGTACTGAAGTATAACAACTTACATTAAAATAAACTAACAACGCTGAGTTGAGAACATTTTCGTGTAATGAAATCCCAATCATATTATCTGGATCTTTGGAGGAAACTGAAGCTCGTAAATTTTTATGGCGATGGTTGGAAGCTATGATTTCACCCTTTGCACTGAATAAACCATTAATCTCAAGGTCAACAGAAGAATTACTCAACACAGGGTCATTCACGAAAGTAACATTTAAAGCAGCAACATTATCTATTGGGACTTCTTTCGGAAGAGATTGCAATGCAGAATCAAGCTTCATAACTCCCTCTCTAATTTTCTTGGAAACAGCATCTTCAACTGCAGAAGCTATATTCCCTTCAAAAGCATCTAACAAGCTGGAAAATGAGTGAAACAAAAACATCAGAATTCATTTCTTTAACTAATAGCACATGTACAGGTCATGGCATGCAAAAGCAAGCAGTGCCAGAGGGAAATCTCCCAGAAACATTAAAGAGGTGTGTGCAAGTGACACCCTTTCGCAGTTCCCAGATGGAAAAACATGCATTTTCCCCATTTGGAACTAACAAGGGAGTTGGAATTGGGGAATGATAAGTCAATAACACTGGGATAGGGTGAGGTCCAACCCAACATATAGTATGTGGCATACTTGCAAACATAGCTGATCAAACAAAACAACATCCCTCTAGCTGAATGGAGAAGGTTTTGCAACACTAAACATTGAGCCATACTGTTTATACTTAAAAGAGGGTTGTGGAAATACAAATGTAATTACATATCGGGTGACACGGAGATGCATCTAAAGTAAGATGTTAAGGATCAGCTTATGCTTTGACACTGCAATGTTACAACGTGTCTTTGCTAAATGGATACACAACACCCATGCTTTAGCTCCTAGGGCAACCGCTCAAGTGCAACAACTCTATAAGAAAAATTTCTTGTTCCTATGATACCTTGACATCTCTACTCATCAAAGAAAATTGATACCATGACATCTAAATGATTGATGAGAATTTCCAAACCAATAAAGTGATTACCAAACTGACATCCAATACAATCACCGAATTCCACAAAACAGTTTCCTGTGAAAGTTAAGGGAATCCAATTCCATTTATTTTGGATTACGAACGTGTTCTGATCAAAGTCCAGAGAAGGTGACTTAATCCAAATATAGGAACATTGTAAGAAATTTACTGCTCATCTTGGCAGTCTTAACTCTTAAGAGATTTCGAGTTCATGACAAAAGGGAGTAGAGAGAGAGAGAGTGTTAATACTATATAGTATCTTCAAATGGAAGGAGAGAAATATTCCCCAAACAATCTAATATTATACAAGAGGATACCCTTGATATAGCCAAGATGCTCCACCTTTCAACTTTATACATATATCTCTCACGTAACATCCACATTCCAGTAGAGTGAGATTAAGAGTTCCTCGCTGGTTCTTCAAACCTAGAGTAAGCCCAACATCCAGACCTTCAACCTTATAAGAAGTAGTTCTCATCAATTCTGTTTTGTCCAACATAAAAAAAACAGAAAATCTAGAAGATGTTCGAATAACCTCACAAAATAAAAAACATAACATCTAGAAGAGTTTATATAAAACCCTGCATGCCATCAAGCAATGACATTAGAAATATGCACCAAAAGTGTAATTGAAGTTTGCATACACAGGAGAAATACTTTAAAATTGATTGAATCTTTGTAATAAATCCAATTTTATCCAAATAGGTAAACGATTTTAAAAGAGACCATTGCTGATTCTCATTGAATGCTAATGATAATAATCTATGCACTCAGAAAATATTCTGTTTTCCAGATTAAAAAAGAATTGATGAGTGTCCCCGCCAGGAGCCATTGAGACATCAACTCCTAGGCCACGGCCTTTTGTTGATCCCCACTGAATTCGCCCATATCAGTATGGCAACTGAAATTTATAACATTTAAAGCAGAATCGCAAGTGTCTTCAGTTACTCAATATTAACATGTAAAGCATCTATAGATAATTTTTCGAAGAAAACTAGATAGATATTCCACCTTTCTAACTATAAAATGGTACATGCTTCAATAAATTCCTTCCCAAACATGTATTTCACAAGTTATACAATGGTAAAACGAAGGTGAGATGCCTTGGTCTATAGCTTAACAGAGGCAACCCTATCAGAAATAGAAATTGGAACAAATCCAGTGCTGTATGAATACCACCAATCCATGTTCAGATTAGCAGTGGCAGCAGATGCAACCATGGCTATACCCGTGTCTCCAGGTTTGGCAGTTGAAGAAGATACATTGACTCGATAGATAATGATATTCGAAAGAATAATATGAACCTTACCGATAACTGGGATTTTGAGAGACTTTTCTATTTGGGGCAACTGAAGTGGAGGTAACGAAGAAACTGCCTCGTTTATTAGCAAATCTTTGACAAAATCAAGACCCTAGTTGGATATATTTATTGATGTGAAACCTTCTTCAGTGGATTGATCATAGGAAATTGAAGAGCCGAATAATGAGCATAACAGTATGAGGAAAACAGTGGACGCCATTATATTTGAGAACAAATCCAGATCGAAGAGATGAACAGATTACAAACCCAGAGCATGGGAGCTCTGGTTTGTAACAGATACGATGAATCTGACCTGGGAGGATTTCAATTTCAGGTTATACCTGGAAAACCAATTGCTCGAAGGAACTGCCAACTTGAGAACATGGTTTTGCTTGCTTTATGCTGGACTATAAATGTGTTCTTACAAGTTACAACTCTTGTTCTGTTGAAACTCTAACATAACGCGTGGGTAATTGCTTGGACTTGCAAAGTTTTGGCCTTTTATTCATTACTCTAGATTGCCAGTTGGACGGACATTCATAAGTTTTCTAGCTGACTTTGTTCTCCTCCAAAACCAAGCGCACAAGAAGAGAGTAATTAACACTTATCACCCTCTTTTACTTCCTTTTTTTCCCTTTTCAGCAATTTGTTTGCCTTTTATCATTCCTTTGTTGCGCAGATAGTACCCAAATGGTTCGAGTTTTGCCACATGGATATGCAATAAACCAGTATTCCAATCACAAAAAGAAAAATATTAGTGGAATTCCTTTATAGTTCTTGAATTTATATGACAGCTTTCGTGATTTCATCAACGATAAATGCTGAATCTACTCAAAAAAATACAAGCGATTTTTGATTTCTCTGTTTTGAAACAATATTATTTAAAACCAAAATTAGATGGTTTGGAGTATACCAGGACAGAGGCAGACCCTTTATCCGAAACAGCAATCGGAATCAACCAAGTGCTGTAGGTATACTTCCAGTCCATGCTCAGATTCGCTGTGGCACCAGAAGCAACTATGGCTATTCCTGTATCTCCAGGTTTAACGATTGAAGAAGAGACATTCACCCTATATAAAGTAATGTTCGAAAGAACCATACGAACCTTACCCACCACTGGAATTTGAACAGACTTTTCAATTTGTGGAAGCTGAAGTGGAATTAAAGAAGACACAACTCCGTTTATTAGCAACTCTTTCACAAAATCAAGACCCTTATCGGATATGTTTATGGATACGAAGCCTTCTTCAGTGGATTGCACTTGGGTGTACGAAGAAATTAATAGCAGAAATAATATTCTGATGAGAATAGTTTTTGCCATGAAGTTTCAGAACAAACCCAGATGAGGAAGATTGTTGATTGGTTTGCGGCACAGACCACTGAAGCTCAGAGATTTTGTTTTGCCATGAAATTTGAGAACAGACCCAGTTGAGGAAGATTGTTAGTTAGGTTGAAGTGTAGAACATTGAAGCTCGGAGATGAATATGCTCAAACAAAGAAGTGAGTGTTGTTACCTGTTGCTATTGACTTGTAGAGGAAACTTGAAAGCAGCTTGCGGGCAATTACTACAGTTTATGTGCAAGTTCAGTTTTGGAGTTTTCTCCATTATTTGCAGGGGGCACCGAACCTTATTACAATCACTTCTAAAAAAGAAATCTTCCCTCTCTTAAGTGTTAATCATATAGAAGTCAAGATCTATCTTGTACCACTTATTATTAAATCACTAGTTTAGGTTGTTATTTTGATTTAATTAATTAAAAAATATTTGATCTAATGAATTTTACAATTATAGGTAAAACGAGGATTTCTTGTCAAATAAACCATAAATTATAAAGTTTTTAGATTTTATTCACCTATTAAAATCTTTTTAATTTTTATTTTTTGAGTAAGTCGATAGGACCATATTTTGTATCAACTAAAAAGTCCCATTTTTTTGAGCCATATACACCTTCCATCTAATTCCATTAAAATTTTATAAGGACGATGGCATGTGAGCATCTCCTCGGCCATTTTATAAGGAGGTTTAGATTAGTTTTATCAAATTCTCTCAAATTTAAATTATTATTTTTTTGGTGCATGGGATGTGAGGGTGACAGTGGACTAGAGTAGGGGTGATAAGAATAATTTTCATTCTCGTACGCACCGTAAAAATATTCGTTTTAATCCTTATTCCTACCCATAACAATTAATTTTTATAATTTTAAGAAAAAAATTAAAAAAATATATATATAAAACCTCACAAATGAATTTACAAGAAGAATGAAAACTCATTATATAACAAATGAATCAAACATAAAAACTTATAAAAATAATATGTATAACAAATATGTATTTTACTTAATTATTTTATTTGTTAGTTATATATATTAAGGGTTTCACAGGCAAGGAAGGGCAGAGGAAGAAAAGGATTGAGTTTCAATTCATCCCCACACGAATTTATATGAATATCTTCTTATACGTCTACCATTTCATCCCCGATCCAAACAAAACAAATTTAAACAAATATCTATTTTCTCTCGGTTTACAGCCATCCCTTGTGGATTCACACACAACATTTTCAATCCCTTGTTTGGTGAGTATAATACCCATGTCTGGGATTCAGAGACTAATCACAATTATAACCAAAAAAAATTCATTTAATTGACTAAAATGCCCACAAGCTAATCCAATTCACACTCATTTTTGTTTAAGTAGATGAGATATTTTATTAGAGATAAAAAAATTATTTGACGGAACTATTTTGGGTTGACATATATGAAACCCACCCCATGGATTTATTATTGAAACCCATGTATGTGGGTTTAATCTTCCAAGCCAACTACGGGCCAAAGTATAATCCAGAGCTTAACAGTTTAACCAAACATATATTTTATTGAGATATTAAACCTTTCTCCTTATACCCATCAAACAAACAGATCGAGCCCCACAAATCCTTCATATGAATCAAATGAAGATGATGGAATAAACATTGGGCTTGAATTAGTCAGAGTAATAGTAGGAAAAATCTACAATACCGATATCAGTACTATACGCCTTTGTCCATCATATTTATTTGCTTCATATGAACTTTACATTAGGAACTTTCATATACGCCTTTATACAGTAAATTGACAGTTTGACCCCTTTAATAATTTTATATGAAAACTGGGGCATGCTAAAGGTAAGCAGGTTCATGTATCCCAGTGTCATAGCAGACACCAATGACCCATTATACATGTTTTCGGTTCAACTTTCGTTGCTGCTACTACCAAATATGGCAGCGAAGTTTCCTTTAATATGGATAGTTCTGTTTGAATGTTCATTGGCACATGGCATATCATGTAATACACACTATCACTACATGAAATATCCAAACCTGAAGAAATAATTGATGGAAAAGACAACCCAGCAAAGCGAAAACGAATAGAGAACCCAATAGTACCGTTTCACTGGCCACCAAGGAGCCACCGGCTGAGTAAGTCCACCAATTGATTCCCGTGTTATCATGTGATATCATCTCCATTATGCATCTAAAGAATCATCTTGGCGATCGGTCCAAGCATATCGAACGTAAATCGTAAATATTCACAAGCCCGCTTTCATAAAAAGTAATCTGGTGGCGGTTTTTTGGCAGGGGCCCCTCTTGATTCCTGCATTTCAACACAATATTCAAAGAATCACATAAACTAATCAATAAGGGAACTGTAAAAGCTAAATCAGAAATGCAGCATGAGATTTTTTGCCTCTCCCATTATTGGCCAATTGCTACGAGGTTGAGGCCACTCGGTGAAATATAATTTGGTATGTAAAATGTCATTGCTAGAGTTCCAGACAAAATATGCCAAAGTAATCCTTCCAGGAGCATTCCTGGTGACACATTACTCATTTTTAAACAATAGCCCATGCAATTTTCTCTTCCTTCATAAAAAGTGTGGCCCCCCCCCCCCAAAAAAAAAAAAACCTATATCCGCAAGTGTGAACTGCTTAAAATAACAGCCGGGCCAATATATGCTGAAATTCATGTTTCAAGTAATATTGCTTACAAAAACCCAAAAATGTAAATACACCCTATTTGCAATAAAGTACAAGCAAGTAGAACTCACGGACCTGTGGAGCCGCTTCAAATACACGAAATTGCTGATGAAGATTCTCATCCAACTCAAGAATTGCCGCTACATTCCCACATCTAGAACACATTGGAGGATTAAAAAGATTTCGACTTCCAGAAAAATCAAAAGATAACTATTTTTTTTTTTTTGATCAGAAAAGATAACTATTTGAAACACTTAATTTACCTGTAACAATAATTTGGAGCCGACCAAACAGTAACTATTTGGTTGTTGAACATCCATTTATATCCTTCCATCACCAACTGATGGACACGACATATATAGTCAATGTTATTTGAGTGGTTAAAAGATGTGACAACACTGCCACCAAATAGGAAACCAGCACCACGAGGACTCAACCCCCAGCCATCAACAATATATTCTGGATCTGACCACAAGAGGTCACACATGGCACCATCATGGGGTACTTCTTGCTTCCGATCAATTGTTCGGATCTGGCAAGGAGGCCATGTTAATTTTCTAAATAAGGCTTTCAGATGATGAATCAATGATACATGGTGAATTCTCAGACCTGGTCCAATGTGGAAATGGCAGGAGAGAGACCACCATGAACAGAAAATATCTTGTTTTCAATGAGAGCCAACAAACTGTAGTGGATCACCATTGAAGAAAAAGTTCAGTTGAAAGTAAGGCTCACATGTTTTGAAGTGCACCGTGCATGCACAAAATGAAAACAAAGGCACTGCCGACTCAGCTGGTTGAAGTGTGCATTAAAGAAATAGTGGTTGAGCAAAAAAAACACATAGGAGGATAGATGGCCAACAAAAACGCAATACACACCAGGCTTGTCGACCTAAAAACTCTGAACTTCACATACTAATAATCTGATATTATCCAACGACATATGCGACAAGGAATATGCAAGAAATGGGCGAGTTCTTGTCAAGTTATATGGTATCAATTTCACCAACATGCATGAGGCTGAAAATATCTCTCAAAATATTTCGCAGCCTACAAGAATCAACTGAAGTTGAGACCTAATTATTCAACCAATTATCAGGGACAGCATTTTTAAATTTTTGTGTTTTCAAGGTATGAGGCAAGATTAGGCAACTTGAACAGTAATCGTTTAGGCACTCATACTCTCCAACAATTACTAGTATACAACCCAATTGCCACCCTACAGTTTCGAATCATTTCATTAGACAGGTAGCCCTGTGTTAATAGAAAATTCACAAACCTTAAGTAATCAAATATATCTGTGCAGTATCTCCAGACATTCACAGAACCATACTTCCGTAGGCACTCATCATAGAATCCATAAACCTGAAAAGGGATGATGGCCAATAAGTTTGCCATGCAATAAGAAAAATTGAAGTAGAAAATGAATAAGCAAGATTTAACCTGTGTAATTTGGCGGCTTTCATGGTTCCCTCTAATAAGTGTTATACAATCTGGATATCTCACCTATTGTACACAGTTCTGTCAGTTGAAATGGCCAAAAGGAAAAGAAATCATTTAAGATAAAAATCTCAACATGAACACCATTTTAGACTAGACTATGCAAAAGCTATATTTGCTATGTAGGTTTGGACAAAGCAGATTGATTTGGTTATGTAGATCCTCCATCTCAGCAGAATATTTGCGGCATACCTATTTAATACTGTAAAATGAGTCAGTTAGACAGGTTCGAACAATGTTCATTCAATCAAGCAACATTCTTCTTGTAAAGCTGAGGTTGAAGCTCTTTCTAACTAAGGAGGGCTGGGGATCTTGAAACACACAACACAATAAACATGATACAATGCAAAAGAACATAGATCCAATGTAACAGTAGAATAAGAATGAATGGGAAGCAGCTATGAAGAGTATTTTGGATTCAATATTCACAATGCGAAGAACAAAGGCCAGGCATCAAGGAACTCAATATTGTACCAATTGGACAACTTTACTTTGCTCATTCTTTAATATCAAATTTCGATGCGAAAAGAAAAAATCATCAAATAAATGTGAGAAAAAGTTGACAGGAAAACAAATGTTAGCACAGAAAACAAACATCCAAGAAGATTCTTCTAAAAAAATTCAGATATATAAGAATGAGGCTTGCAAGAAATCAACATAGCTAAGATTAAAAATGCATAAATGTGGTTTAGTTACAGCATTGCCTCAAATGCAGCACTTGTTTCAGGTCTTTATTACTGTTACCTCTCGGGAGCATCAATGGCAGCATCTTTGATGCACTGTTATTACTTAATTGGCTAGTTGTAAATAGCCTCCAGCCTATGAAAAAAGGGTTATCCCAGACCTACACCGACATACTGACGGAGAGTCCTTTAAACACACAAAACAAATGCATACGTACAGCACTTGACAGTCATGATTCTCAGTATCCTTCTCTATGTTGTTTGTCACATTCCATTTCTTTTCTTTTCTCCATTTTTTTTACCCCTTTGGGGTGGTTGCTACCAAATATGATACGATGTTGCTTGATTGAATGGCTAAGGAACATGAAAGGGCTGAACATTCTCCCAGCTCTGTTCTTACAACTAACTATGTGTGTACTTGAAAAAACAGCCTGTTCTCTTAGATAGCATATCATAAAACAATGTGAGAACTGCAAGAGAAACTTTGTACACGATGGCAGAATTACAACCATACCCAAAGATGAAAACTTAAGAAACAGAAACAACCAAGCAATTAATTGGTCACTTATTAGACAAGTCCTATCTCACTCAGGCAGATTTTATTCTATCCAAAAGATAAGAGGGTCAGGGAGTGGATAAATATTAACTTCAGGGCAAGTAGAAGCAGAAATGTCTCGACTGAGTAAAATCCTCGGTCAACAAAATCTCCAAGAAATAAATAATTAGTCTTAGGACAATCATCTCCCACTTTGAAAAGTTCTTTCATGTCATAAAACTGCCCATGGATGTCCCCGCATATCTAGGCAAGAAAATTAGCAAGATAAACTAACGAGCCAGAATTGAGATCAGCACCAATTTGGAATGTTAATAAAGTATAATATTGAAAGTCAAAATTTCTTATAAAACAACTGTTTTCATGAAGGAAAAAAGTGATGCCAAAATTCAATGTATGCAAAGCTTGCTCAACAACAGCTATCAGAGAGAGAAAGGGAAGGATGAGGAGGAGCAATCAGTAGAATCTCAAAAACCAAATAAAATTGGCCTCTCAATGTGCCACATCTAAGGAAATTCCAAAGTTCACTATAACAATCCAGTGCAGTCAGATGATGGTGAAATGCTATTCCCAAAAATGGCTTCTTCCCTATAAGTGTCAGTTACTGCACCTTTGCTGAAGACTTATGATGACCAATAAAGTTTGGCCTATGGCTACATTGTTCCTTTAACAGCTTTTGGGTCTGCTGATAAACTTAAACTTCAATACAACTCGAAGTATTTTTGTGGCAACTCCCTCCTAGCTATGTCATCCCGCATTCTCTAGAAATGTGTTTAACATAGCTTTAAAAGTTAAAATGCCCAAATGGCATCAGGAAAATTACTGTGTACCAACATTATGTCAATTATTCAATTTTACTCCCTCCAGACAATGAGATCCCACCACATTAAAAATTACTTTCTGCATCTATACTTCCCAATTGGTAGCTTCAAATTCAATATGAAAAAACAAACAAGATGCGACAGGGATAGGGACAGGGAGAGAACTTAAAGGTTATAATTTTTTACATGTGTAATTAAATCCAAAAACAACTCCACTGGTCAGAAACCCTCAATCAACTAACCAACCAACCAACCAAACCAAGACTTATGTCACAATCATTTGGGGTTGGCTATATGAGTCGGTCTTCACCGTTCATTTCGGACATCACTATAGGCACATTTAAGAAATATTTTTATATCTCCTCTTATTATTTCGTTCAATATTAATTTAAGTCTACCCTAATTCTATCACTTTTTCTAACCAATACCTCTATGGGCTTCCATTGGACATGATCAAACTCTCAATCATTGGTACTTAAAACCGGATCGATTCTAAGGTCCCCCACATTTACAGAAATCAGACCCTTGAACATCAGAGCACAGAGAACCAAACTATACAACATAAACTGATATATGCTAAAAATGGAAAACAGTTGCATAACTAAAACAGAACCAATAAGATTCAAGAGCAATAACAAACATATGGTAAGAATATAAGGGAAATGTATCTATCAATGACGACTCACAGTAACTGGTGCGTCAACCCTTTGAACGTTGCTCTCTTCAACAAGAATTTCCATGGCCTTGATACAAAGAGCCTTGACTTCTGATTCCTTCAATGGCTCGCACCTCTTCAGCTGCTTTATCTGTATGTCCAGGTCTGACATCTTCTCCCTCTCTTTCTCTCTCCTCCTCCTCTGCAGTCTCTTCTCGAATCCAAGAACAAATGGACGAAAAACAACAGATTTGAACTCTGTCTGCTACTGTCTCTGGTTCACTTCCTTCGTTTTTTGTGGGCTCTCCCCTCGCGCTCTTGTTGTCTGTGGGGTTTTCGCGATTCGCGCTCCAGGCGCGTTAATTTTGGTATATTTTCATTCTCTCCCGTTATTTTTGTCTTATTTCCACTCATACCTTCAATCAAACAAAAATTTTTTACTAAAAACATTCAAAATTGAGTGTTATATAAATAATTATTTATAAAAATAAGATAATATGAAAAATACCACAAAAATATTTGTTGGATATAAAGAAACAAATATTTCAGTGTTGTTTGATAAAAAAAATTGAATGCTAAATATTTTAATTCGTAATTTATTTGGTTTTTACTTAAATTTTAATACGAAATTAAATTAAACTATCTGATATTAAGTAAACCAAGTTGGAGTCTGAAAATTAAATAATTTATCAAATTTATCCTTCCACCTTTTTATTTTAAAATTATTTGTTCATTATGCATTAATCTAATAAAAAGCCATGGCATGCACTAAAATAATTAATAACATAAATTATTATTATTATTACATTGTAGACTATAATTAATAAACATGATCTTAAAATTAATTCAAGTTGAATTTATTAATAAAAAATTTGCAATTGTCAATCATTTGAAATTTACAATTAGGATACGAACAATAGTTCAAATGCCTTGTAGTTTTTTCACTCAAGATAAGTATAAAAATTTGATTAGTTCGTATCCTTCCCCTCCCAACTATTAAAATTGTTAAAGTATTAAATTTTAAACATTATAAATGATATTATCACTTCTCAAACAACTCTTTACTCATCTTAATGGGTAACTCATGTAATAATACGAACGAACTCTAAATTTAGGCGTCTGAAGTTATAATTTTAATAACCTGTTAGGACTAAATCACGAGAGATTTATCCCTCATGAATACCCTATTTTTTGGTGTGAATGAACTGTCTTTGACCAGATAAAAAAAAAATTAATTAATGTGCTTATAAGTTGGCTCAGACAACAAAAAAAAAAAAAAAACTCCTTAATATTGGACTATACTTTGGCATTTTTGTCTAATTGAATGTACAATATAAAAATTATAATATTTAAAAATTAAAATTAAAAATTTAAGAATCTTTAAAAGTACAAAATATCATTCACCCTATTTTATTTTTTGTCATATATGATGCATTCTTCCTTTTGTATTTTTTTTTTCTAATTGAATAAGAATTCAAATCAAAAATTATATTAACACTCCCATAGTTTATAAATATTTTCAGAAGTACTCTAGTAGTTTGAATTTGTCACACTGTTTTTCAGGATTTGTCAACCTAGGACTTGATTGTAGGACATCCAATTAGCATGTTTACAAAGAACAAAAATTAATTAAATTTCGTTTTGAACTGATGAAAACATCCGAAACGTTTATGTTTTCAAATCATTGATAGACTATTAAAATTTTTATTTTTCAAGTGTTTCGGTAAGTTTCGGTTTATGTTTCAATCAATATTTTAGAAATAAATTTTTAATTGTTTTCATATTATTTTCAAAATATTTTTGAAACATTACCGAAATATTTCTGTTTCCAAATTCACCAAAATTATGCACCAAAACAAAATTTTAATCATTAATCAGACCTTAAAAAAACAAAAAACAAATCAGAGCTTGTTTATATTCAAATATAAATTTGGATTAGAATTTGAATAAAGGTGGGAGATGTCCATTAGTTATTTAATATCCTTACGACGACGTTTAGTCACTTATAAATACATACTTTTTCTCTTTGGGCCACAACTGTGTTGTCTAATGCATATAATGAAGACGACGACAAGATCGGACAAACACTGGTGGTTAGCGGTGGCGCCGTGTGTCTCCTCCAGCTGATATCCACCCAAAAAGCAAACAATTCGATCATCAATTCCAATTCCAATCTCATTTCAGATCTTCGATTCAAAAATCAAACAGGTAAAAGGTTCGTCCTTTGTCATCTTCAACACGATTTCATGTTAATTCCATCTTTTTAGGGATTATGCACCGCTTCGCTACTCAACACGTTGCGTATACACACCTACATTTATATATGCACATGCTTCCACAATTCGAATTGTCCTTGAGTAGAGTCATTGATGCCCTAATTTAAATTACAGAGAAATTTTATGCGATCCATGTGATTCAGCTGTTTTGCTGGTGATTTGAACTTGACTTTTGATAGCCGGAAAGTAATTACTGATGGAATTGAAGAACGCAGAGGCCTGAATTTTGTGTCTATACATCATTTTACTTCTTGAAATAACTTAGATTTATCTTCTTATTCAGCATGAGTTCTAGCTGCTAGTTTGATTTGTATAAATAGCTGATGATTTTTCTCTTCTTTCATAATGAGGGGATACCCATGAATTGTTGCTGAATTTTTATGCAATTTCAATGGAACAAAGAGAAGATAAAGAATATTGTTTCTTTCCCTGATAAGAGCTAGGAGAGTCGCATGGGATAAAGAGCTTGTATGGGCAACTATTCTACTGTGGTTCTGCTTCTGTTATGCTGAGTGCATTATGTATCTGTCAANCAACAAAAAAAAAAAAAAAACTCCTTAATATTGGACTATACTTTGGCATTTTTGTCTAATTGAATGTACAATATAAAAATTATAATATTTAAAAATTAAAATTAAAAATTTAAGAATCTTTAAAAGTACAAAATATCATTCACCCTATTTTATTTTTTGTCATATATGATGCATTCTTCCTTTTGTATTTTTTTTTTCTAATTGAATAAGAATTCAAATCAAAAATTATATTAACACTCCCATAGTTTATAAATATTTTCAGAAGTACTCTAGTAGTTTGAATTTGTCACACTGTTTTTCAGGATTTGTCAACCTAGGACTTGATTGTAGGACATCCAATTAGCATGTTTACAAAGAACAAAAATTAATTAAATTTCGTTTTGAACTGATGAAAACATCCGAAACGTTTATGTTTTCAAATCATTGATAGACTATTAAAATTTTTATTTTTCAAGTGTTTCGGTAAGTTTCGGTTTATGTTTCAATCAATATTTTAGAAATAAATTTTTAATTGTTTTCATATTATTTTCAAAATATTTTTGAAACATTACCGAAATATTTCTGTTTCCAAATTCACCAAAATTATGCACCAAAACAAAATTTTAATCATTAATCAGACCTTAAAAAAACAAAAAACAAATCAGAGCTTGTTTATATTCAAATATAAATTTGGATTAGAATTTGAATAAAGGTGGGAGATGTCCATTAGTTATTTAATATCCTTACGACGACGTTTAGTCACTTATAAATACATACTTTTTCTCTTTGGGCCACAACTGTGTTGTCTAATGCATATAATGAAGACGACGACAAGATCGGACAAACACTGGTGGTTAGCGGTGGCGCCGTGTGTCTCCTCCAGCTGATATCCACCCAAAAAGCAAACAATTCGATCATCAATTCCAATTCCAATCTCATTTCAGATCTTCGATTCAAAAATCAAACAGGTAAAAGGTTCGTCCTTTGTAATCTTCAACACGATTTCATGTTAATTCCATCTTTTTAGGGATTATGCACCGCTTCGCTACTCAACACGTTGCGTATACACACCTACATTTATATATGCACATGCTTCCACAATTCGAATTGTCCTTGAGTAGAGTCATTGATGCCCTAATTTAAATTACAGAGAAATTTTATGCGATCCATGTGATTCAGCTGTTTTGCTGGTGATTTGAACTTGACTTTTGATAGCCGGAAAGTAATTACTGATGGAATTGAAGAACGCAGAGGCCTGAATTTTGTGTCTATACATCATTTTACTTCTTGAAATAACTTAGATTTATCTTCTTATTCAGCATGAGTTCTAGCTGCTAGTTTGATTTGTATAAATAGCTGATGATTTTTCTCTTCTTTCATAATGAGGGGATACCCATGAATTGTTGCTGAATTTTTATGCAATTTCAATGGAACAAAGAGAAGATAAAGAATATTGTTTCTTTCCCTGATAAGAGCTAGGAGAGTCGCATGGGATAAAGAGCTTGTATGGGCAACTATTCTACTGTGGTTCTGCTTCTGTTATGCTGAGTGCATTATGTATCTGTCAATAATTCCAAGCTCACAGAAACCAGTAGAGTTGTGCTTGATTAGTTTACATCCGCTTAACTTTTATTTTTGCGACCTAGCATTGCATATATGACATTCTATAATTAGTTCGGCTATTTAATGATTTGTTTTCTGTTATTCAGATCAATGGCGTCTTCCACAGATTCATGGATCAGGGAATATAATGAAGCGTTAAAACTTGCTGATGATATCACTGGCATGCTATCTGAAAGGAGTTCATTGCCTGCACCAGGGCCGGAAGCACAGCGTCATTCATCTGCCATACGGAGAAAAATTACAATACTAGGAACTAGACTTGATAGCTTACAGTCACTTGTGTCAAAGCTTCCTGGCAAACAGCCTCTGTAAGTCTTTGTAGTGCAATTCCATTCTTTTCACTTGAATATAATAGGAGCAGTATAGATGAAGCATTTTAGGTACATTTTCATCTCCAGTATTCGCTTTTGCTTTTTAAAGATGTATTTAGTGTGCTCTCGTATTTGTTGCTATATCTATATTTTGCATTTTGTTGGTTGTTGTATAATGGGTTTGGACTCTTGTGACCATATCACGGGCTATATTTCCGTTCTGTGTGAAATTCCTTTCTCTTGACATTTTGGTTGGAGATATGTAATTTTACACTACTGCTGACTTTTATGCCTGTAATCTTGTACATATTTCTTTGTTCCTTTAAAAATGGTATTGCTATGCACCTTTCTTCTTTAATAAACAAATATAGGTTGGGTTATTTTTGTATGGCCTTTTGAAAATGACTTTGGCTCCCACCTTCCTCAGATAAACTCTAGAGAAGGTTGTAAATTGATCTACTGTCTGTCGTGTATATCTTTTGTTGATAAAAACTTGCTGTGTATAATTTTTGTCGATAAAAACTAGGTTATTATATGGCATTATTTGTAATTCAGATATTGTAATTGTTGTTGCTGTTGTATTTGAATTCTTGTTGATGCTGCATCTTGTTGTACACAGGACAGAGAAAGAGATGAACCGTCGGAAGGACATGCTTTCAAATCTAAGATCAAAAGCAAACCAGATGGCCTCCACATTGAACATGTCAAACTTTGCCAATAGAGATAGCTTGCTTGGGCCAGAAATTAAACCAGTTGATGCTGTGAGCAGAACAACAGGTTTGGATAACTATGGAATTGTTGGCCTGCAGCGACAAGTCATGAGAGGCAAGTTGCTGTAACATATTCGGGAGCATCCTTACTTATTATGTTACTTAGGTTTTTTACTTCATTGATCCTTTTTTTGTATGCTTTTGAAGCAGAGCAAGATGAGGGCCTTGAGAAATTGGAGGAGACAGTGATAAGTACCAAACATATTGCATTGGCGGTGAATGAGGAACTTGACCTACACACTCGACTAATCGTACGTGTTTTTCTCTGTTGGTTTGTTTAGTTGTATGCCTCTTTTCATCTTTAACTTTCTAAGTGAAAATTATTGAATTTACTAAATCATGACATTTTTTTTGCTTCTGTGTTCGCTCGGTATGCAGGACAACCTTGATCAACATGTGGATGTTACAGACTCCCGATTACAGGTGAAATCTTCTGTGTAGTTTACGTCTTTGAGTATTGTGCAAACCCCTGTTGACAAAAAAGTTATGGTGATGATAACCCCTTGAAAAGTGAAAACTCCCTGTAGGTGGAGATTTTGTGAACTCCATGTGGATAATTTTAACTGACTGGGTTGACATTGAAAGAAAAAAGAAAAGAAAAGGTTTTAATAGAGAATCAATTCTACTCTGGGTCACTTTGGACTGGATGCCTCTGTCCAAACCCTTTTATCTTATAAACATGAATATCTTATTGATCTCTCTGCCTACATCTGGGCGGTACAAAGTTGATTTAGTTTTCTGCTCAAGACCTATTGGCTACTTGTGTCACAATAAATAATATATGGGTATCATATGTATGGCCACTTGCTGGTTGCTTAATTGTGGACAGAAGTAGATTTGTTTTATGNTTAGTTTTCTGCTCAAGACCTATTGGCTACTTGTGTCACAATAAATAATATATGGGTATCATATGTATGGCCATTTGCTGGTTGCTTAATTGTGGACGGAAGTAGATTTGTTTTATTGTTCTTTTCCCCCTCTAAGTAAATGTTTCTTTATTTATCTGAGATTTATTTTACTTTGCTTCTCTTGGTTTTCCTTTGATAATGAAAACAGAGGGTGCAGAAGAGGCTTGCAATTCTGAATAAACGTACCAAGGGCGGTTGCTCTTGCATGTGCCTGTCTTTATCAGTTGTTGGGATAGTGATTCTGGTTGTTGCTATATGGTTGCTGATCAAATATTTGTAATGCAAATGACAACATGTCTCCCTCGCGTTTGTGCGTCTTTGGGGTGGAAGTGACATTTGTTAATGTTATTGTGAAATTATATATGTTTGGTTTCCTTGAATTGTTCAGTGTCATGCTTTGTTTGTGAAGTGATCTGATCTGCTGCTAAAACCTCCTGTCCTATTGCTATGGTGGACATAGAGCGTTTCAAAGCAAGTGTTANTGGTTGCTGATCAAATATTTGTAATGCAAATGACAACATGTCTCCCTCGCGTTTGTGTGTCTTTGGGGTGGAAGTGACATTTGTTAATGTTATTGTGAAATTATATATTTTTGGTTTCCTTGAATTGTTCAGTGTCATGCTTTGTTTGTGAAGTGACCTGATCTGCTGCTAAAACCTCTCTAAAACCTCCTGTCCTATTGCTATGGTGGACATAGAGCGTTTCAAAGCAAGTGTTACAGATACTTTTATCAAAGATAGGTGTTGAATTTATTTTTTTACTAACTCATATAAACTTCATATTACAGTCCATTTATACAAGCGATTATACCCTTAGTATATACGCCATTTGATTATGTTATTTATGTGACATGCGTAAATTTTGTTATTATCATTCTCCACTTTAATTTAGATTTCTGNTACAGTCCATTTATACAAGCGATTATACCCTTAGTATATACGCCATTTGATTATGTTGTTTACGTGACATGCGTAAATTTTGTTATTATCATTCTCCACTTTAATTCAGATTTCTAAGTTTCAGTGTACTGGACATTAATGCGACTGGTTGGTTTCCTCCAAAATGAGAGCAGATAATGGCAATGGAAATTTTCTTCCCTCTCTTTTCTGGAGGAGAGAGAGTTGTATTAAGAATAGGGTTTNATTAATGCGACTGGTTGGTTTCCTCCAAAATGAGAGCAGATAATGGCAATGGAAATTATCTTCCCTCTCTTTTCTGGAGGAGAGAGAGTTGTATTAAGAGTAGGGTTATAACTTTTACGATCAGAATTTTGTTTCAATTTTACGCCTACGGATACACCTCTTGTAGTAGTCAAGCTCTCAAACGATGTTTTCAAATAATTCTTTAATTTTTTTCTTGTTGGTTCTTTTTGTTCCGGTCTCTATTAATAGGTTAGTGATTAGTCAATTGGATTCCAAAAACCTCTTGTAGTAGTCAAGCTCTCAAACGATGTTTTCAAATAATTCTTTAATTTTTTTCTTGTTGGTTCTTTTTGTTCCGGTCTCTATTAATAGGTTAGTGATTAGTCAATTGGATTCACTTTTGGACTTTAAGATCGTGAGTTTAAATCTTGTAGTTCTCTTCACTTCTGCAAAAAAAGTCTGTTCCATGATTGACTGTAAAATTGGAATTCCTAAATCTACCCCCCATTTAATGTCAACTGCTTTGACTTATTATTGGTTGACATTGCTCAAGTGTCTGCTTAATCTTTTCGCTTGTTGAATCAAATACATTTGGTTGATAATAAAATCAATGAAATTTTTACATTCTTTTACCCACCACAAGGTTTCATCCTTTTGTTTTTGTGATAGAAGATTTGAGTTTATAGGATGAAAATTTACTCTATAAATATGAAACTCTCTCAATTTTATGTTATTTTAATACCGGACAACCTGTTATTCATTGATAAAAATCCCATCTAGGAGATCCACTATTAAAGAAAATTAACATTAAAATGGATCCAATTCCTAATATGGGCAGCCATGTTATGGAAGTAAACCTAGGTCATAGCTAGGAAATTGACAATCTGAAGGGATACTTTGGTAGGCTTGGATGTTTGAGGCTAGTTAAATTTATTTATTGGCAGTTGCAAAAACAAGTTATGCATCTCTTCAGTTGCAGCAACACAATCATTTAGGAATGCAAAATGTGTGTTAGGTAGGAGAAGTCTACTGTACCCAAAAAAACTGGGTATCGTACCGTTATTTATAAATTTTTTACAAAATTTGAGTCATTTATAGTTTTGAGGGTCATTTACAATATTTGAAAGTTATTTACAATTTTTGAGTATCATTTACAAATTTGGATTAATTGCAAATAATTCTCAAAAATTGTAACTTCCACCAAATAAGTTATAATATAACCCCAAAAGTTATAATTTTTATTTTTGTAAACAAACTCGAAAACTTATATTTCTGCCACAAAGCTTATAAATTCTAGTGTTACGATCCAAAAAATTTCTGCATTGCAGTCTTCTCCTAAATGTTTATGTATTGGGTCATTTATGCTGCAAATGGCTGCCNTAAACAAACTCGAAAACTTATATTTCTGCCACAAAGCTTATAAATTCTAGTGTTACGGTCCAAAAAAATTTCTGCATTGCAGTCTTCTCCTATATGTTTATGTATTGGGTCATTTATGCTGCAAATGGCTGCATACACTAGCTGTATTATGCACTAGAGTGGATCAATGCAGTTGGAGAAAGAAAAGGAGCATAGTCCTCATGACAAGGCGCATATAAACTAAGAAATCCATCTCCATGACTAGTGGAAGACATATTGCAGCACTAAATTACAGTTCATAACCTTCATGTTAATGTCTGATTTTCATGTCCAGCGATTCCACCATGCCACTTATCCATCGATATTTCTTCTAAAGTACAAGCCTCGCACTGTCAGTGTTAACAAAAGAATAATATATCGAAAACAGTTTTACAGCAGGTAGTGTCAATCACGACATGCAAAACATATTGTAGTCGTCTGCACAGAGGAGAACTACATACAAATTTGACACAAGAAGATTTCAGGTACTTCATGCTCTCGGATAATTATTGTCCACTCCCTAATATTCACGCAACGATCATAAAGTGAATTGCCAAAAGGAGGTATATGCTTTCACAAAACTCACTCCTCTTCACTCAAAATTGGGACGATGAGTGGCTTCATCTGTGCAAGATATACAATGGCCCACCTGCCAACATATCAATTGGGTAATTAATATAAGTTGTTCAATTTCTCAAATCAGCGTCCCCTAAATATAGATAGATAGAACCAAAACATAAATTTTGAAGCCAAAAATTTCTCTACCATGGGGTTCTGTACCCCTTAAAGCATCCAACTAAAACCTCCTATGCAGATGTTATCTGATAATCCTCATCAAGTAATGGCCCAAAGGAGGAAACTCGAACTTAGGACACTTAAAAGTCTGGCTTCATGGCATCTTGTTTACCCCTTGAGATTAAAGCTAACTCCTTGTCAAGAATTGAACCATCACTTGAACACTTGATTATGAAAGACGTCTTACATTGTATCACAAGTATAGTATATCATATCAATGCCATGAATTGGCATGCAAAATTAAATAGTTGGACAACATTGCATTGATTTACAACTTTTAAAGGTAATCCCAACCAACAAAAAGTTGCGCCTTAAATAATAATTTCTCCAATAACAACTAGTCTTCTTTCATAAGATTTTGTCCATGACGTGGATCAAGTTTAGTGAATCTTCCCTAACGCCCTCAACAAAACATGCAAAAACAAATTAACTAANATAACAACTAGTCTTCTTTCATAAGATTTTGTCCATGACGTGGATCAAGTTTAGTGATTCTTCCCTAACGCCCTCAACAAAACATGCAAAAACAAATTAACTATGACAAAAATCAACTTGTTAACATTGTCAAAAGAGAGCCAGTCTGAGAAACCTATTGGTCTTAAAGTCCGCAGAGAAAATATCTTATGCTTCAAATTTAGATAGTAATACCAAACTAAGATCAAATTTAATTCTATAAGAAACATAGGCAGTAAGAAGAAAGGACCCATAAAGATGCCTTCATATTGAGGTGAACCTAAACAATGCCAACACAACATTATTCCACAACCCTTTTTCTCTCTTTGCCCACCAAAGCCATGTAAACTAGAATACAAGGGGAATGTTTGAGCTCAATCCTTTATCTCTTAGCCCTCAACTCATTTCAAAATTGCCACTTCAGTTACACCCAACCAATAAAAATAATGCTAATCTGCCAAATGGTCAGTAATGCTGGCCTTAGAAACAATCCCACAATATTTAAACCACGTAATCAATTTGACAGGCCATGAATGCATTTATCCAGACTTTCGGTCATAAGAATTAGAATGCAGGTTTTACATTAGTCATATACCTATTATAATCCTCCCTACCTCATGGCTAGATATGTATAAGAACAGAAGTTTAGAAACAAGATGATGTATATATATTTTTTTGCAGCTGAAACAAGAAGTTGGAACTGAAATCAAACTTACATCATCCAACAGCATACTGTTGCAGTAATAATCAATGTTAGGTGGAACCTGCATCATACAATACATGCTAGTCAGTGTGTGGAAAGCAAAATTTCAAGAGCGTTTCCAGAAAACCTGGTGACTAAAAGGTAAAATAACAAGTTTCCTGCAAATTATTATGATTTATTGGCAAGTGATATCTTCCCATATATTATTAGCAAGCTCGGTGGACCACATAGAGGGCAAGTTCACATTATCATGGTTTAACTTTTATACGACCCAGAATCAAGAGACATTTGCCACATGCATTAGGGTTGAAATATGCCATACTTGGATTCAATCCACCTGGTCTAGGATGGGTTGTTTTAGTATCCAATGGTAAATTTACATATAATATATGTAACACTAGACATTCTATAGATAAGTATTATACAAATATTTCTCACTATTCACTAACAATATAGATAAGCCACTATGCCCAAGATATGTGTTGTACCAAAATTGACACAGTAAAATATTTATACTCAACAATTTATAAACAAGACATATTTTAGTTGGCGATTGTATTAGTACTGCACCTAAGAAACAAAGGCAAAGGCAACAATCTCATGGATGGAACTATTCTGAAAAAGATCCTCCCTTATCTAAGTAATAGTCATAAACCGTGCCTGAAGGCACGATAAAACATAAAATTCGAGCGCTCAAAAAATCGATCCCACTATATTAAATTTTTTTAACATGTGTATACTATCGTATATGGATAATGTTTAACATAAAATTATGTTAACTGCGAATTAATTAAATATTAAATGATTAAACATGCGATAAAAATGAGTGATGTGATATTTTTAGAGAAAAAAATATGTAAAGAATAAAAATTCAAGTTGTTATGTATTTTATTATATAGATATTTGATGGAATTATTCAATGCAAAACAACTTTTTGACAGAGGGGGAAATATTTATGGTCAAGTTAATATATAGGTGGAGTGCTTACTATAAAATACATAAAACATACACACATCTATCCAGCAAGTATTGGGGATTACCTAGTTCAGCCTTCTGCTAAGTGTCATCCGTTCCATTTGATTTGTATGTTTTTATTTTTACTTATATGCTTGTATTCTGGAATCTTCAATGGATGCTTCCATAGGTTTTTTTTTTTGGGGTGGAGGTGTTATAACTCTAGGTACACAGAATAATGGTGGAATGGCCCCACAAGTTTTGCAAACTGATTGATCATTTCAGTAAGACAACTATAACTTACAATAATCATATGCAGTTCTTACTAGAAAGTCGATCACCTTTTTTTTGGTGTGGAATTTGGTTGTACATATACAGATTTGATGAATGAATTTAGGCTGGATAGCTCCCGTTTTATTTTTTACTAGGTCAGTGGAGATGGGGATAAGGTCAGGGTAAGCCCTAGACAGATCAATAGCCTTTTTTAAACATCATCACATATTTGTAAAAAAAGCAATTACACAAAGTTTGTAATCCGCCTAATTGAAAAAATTACCATTCCTGGAAATATGCAAACTACAACCCTATGAACAAGAAATTAAAATATAGCAAGCAGATCTGGATAGAGAGAAGAGAAGCCATGATGAACAAAACAAGCATACAGATTAGAAGAAGGCCCTCTGTTGCAGCAGATTCGGGTAAACAGACATGCAATGATTCCGACAACGACATAAATTAGGGTTGTCACCAAAAACCCCATTTTTCAATCCGATCTCACCGTCACCAACAGACGAGCACTGCAGTGCTGCTATTTCTGAAATTAACCAATAATCAGTTCAAATCAATCTTATTATTAGAAAAAGTCAAAACTTCCAATTACACGCAAATTCTCTTTCTGACCTGCACTAAATTCTGAACGAGTTTGCAAAATCTAAATTCAAACAACCCAATAGATCCAGATCCAGATCCAGAACCAGAACAAGAAAATGCAAACCCTACGTTACGCATATATTCAGATACTCCTATGTTGAGAGAGAGAGAGAGAGAGAATACCTTATTCTTCCTCCGGTGATCGGTGACGCTTCTTGGGGAACTTAAAGCTCGTTGAATAGGCCTCTCTTTGCTTCGAACAATCTGTTTACGAAGCCAACTCTCTCCGTCTCTCTGTGATCGGAGAACTATTTTGCGACCTTTTACTTCGACGGTGAAACATGTTACGACATTGAATACGAAAAAGAGCCTTAATTTGGGCCGAAAACTTTCTATGGTGGGCTATTCTGGGCCGAAAATTTTGTTTTTGTTTGAATCTAGTGGGCTATTTTGGGCCTACAAGTGTTTCTCTAGTGGACGGAATTGGGTCGACAATATCGTTTTAGTTTGTTATTAGTGGGCTACTCTATTGGGCTGACGCGAGTAGAGTAAAAGCCGACGCAGGAATGCGTCATACAGACTTCTCTCACTTTTTTNGTTTGAATCTAGTGGGCTATTTTGGGCCTACAAGTGTTTCTCTAGTGGACGGAATTGGGTCGACAATATCGTTTTAGTTTGTTATTAGTGGGCTACTCTATTGGGCTGACGCGAGTAGAGTAAAAGCCAACGCAGGAATGCGTCATACAGACTTCTCTCACTTTTTCTTTTTTTGAAATATCAGTTAAAAAAATCATAGGCAAATTCTTGGATCACCTGATAAGAATGTGGAGAAAAATCAAAGTAGAATAGTTCTGCCTACTCAAAACTAAGAGGGGATGCTGCCAACTACTAAAATCTCGATTTTTGTAATAATTACGTTTTTATATGAAAGACGAACTTTAAAAGAAAGAGTGATCCATTTTGATTCTGAAAGTNCTTGGATCACCTGATAAGAATGTGGAGAAAAATCAAAGTAGAATAGTTCTGCCTACTCAAAACTAAGAGGGGATGCCGCCAACTACTAAAATCTCGATTTTTGTAATAATTGCGTTTTTATATGAAAGACGAGCTTTAAAAGAAAGAGTGATCTATTTTGATTCTAAAAGCNAACTAAGAGGGGATGCTGCCAACTACTAAAATCTCGATTTTTGTAATAATTACGTTTTTATATGAAAGACGAACTTTAAAAGAAAGAGTGATCCATTTTGATTCTGAAAGTCTTTTAGCTTCACGTGGGAGATCTCTATATATAGTAGGGAAATTAGGATAGCAGAACCAAGATACAAAATTAGAGGAGAAGACCATGCACCGAAAAGTATGATCTACCATCTAAGAATGGGGCCAATGAGAAAACAATCTATCTTCAAGAGCTACCCTATCACACTATCCACGACTTTAAATGTAAAAAAAGTTCGACACAGATGCACAAAGATCGTTTATGAAAATTCTCTATATGACAAGTCATGTAGTGAGTTCAAGTCTAGAATCCAANAAGAATGGGGCCAATGAGAAAACAATCTATCTTCAAGAGCTACCCTATCACACTATCTACGACTTTAAATGTAAAAAAAGTTCGACACAGATGCACAAAGATCGTTTATGAAAATTCTCTATATAGAGGTGAAATTAGATGACAATGGTAAGATTGACAAGCGCTGTTTTTGCCAAATGACAAGTCATGTAGTGAGTTCAAGTCTAGAATCCACAGTCGTAAAACAGTAGTAAAGCTAGGGGAGGGGACCACTCATCCCCTGTCAAACACAAGGTATCTAGGAAAGGAAAAAGTCAGTTATTCAGCAGGCATGATTATAAAATTATTTTATTTAGTCAAGAAATTATTTTATAATCATGCCACTTGACTATAAGAATTAACCTTCCGAGATTATAATAATTAAATGCTTACGTAAGGTGCTACGCATGCATGCACTGTCTTCTTCCTAAGATACCCTGGTCAGAATATGGCACTTTTAGGAACCAAGCCGAAAGGCCAANAGAAATTATTTTATAATCATGCCACTTGACTATAAGAATTAACCTTCCGAGATTATATAATTAAATGCTTACGTAAGGTGCTACGCATGCATGCACTGTCTTCTTCCTAAGATACCATTGTCAGAATATGGCACTTTTAGGAACCAAGCCGAAAGGCCAAAAATGGTAAAGTTAACGTTTCATGGTTGACAGTTGACTACTTCTCTCTCTCTCTGCCTATACATAAGGGTACTTACCAACATCTCTCGTCTGTCACTTGAACAAAGTATCTTAAACCTTACAGGCTAGAGAGTAGTAGATAGAGTGTCTTGTGACTTCTCACTTCTTTTTGTGAGGAAAATGGTTTACTCAAAGACTTCTCTTCTTCTTGGCCTTCTTTTTGCTGTTGTTCTTGCAATTCCCTCCGAGGTTTCAGCTAGAAAGCTTGCTGACACAGCCCAAACACCTGATGAGCTCCTCACTTTCATATTCCAAACATCTCTCTCTTCTTTTGTCAATTGGTACAATGATTAACGGGTAAAACCGTGCACACCCCGTGGAGATGTGATGCAGCACCACAATTTACATCAACCNTGATGAGCTCCTCACTTTCATATTCCAAACATCTCTCTCTTCTTTTGTCAATTGGTACAATGATTAACGGGTAAAACCGTGCACACCCCGTGGAGATGTGATGCAGCACCACAATTTTCATCAACCCGACACAGAATCGACACAAAATTATTAAATTGGTGTTTATTAGTACTCGACCCAATCTGAACTGACACGATCTGAGCATTACACAGTTGCTAATCCTAGCGTCAACTTGGGTCCTTCAAAGCCACCATATATACTTGCATGACGGTGCTGTTACTTCTCCAAATGCAAAGCTTCTGTTGTGATTGGTAATAGAATACATGAGTTTACTTGCCATGTTGCCTCTGAACAAATGTATGCACTTTTCGTTGAATAAATGAATGCAAATAATTGTAAGTCGACGATTGTTTAGAGTATTTTAAGAAAAAGAGCATTTTATGTGAGAAATTCAATCTCACGTTGACTAGATTTCTAAAATTATTTGAGTATATATATAGTCATTGAGTTAAGTGAGACACTGAGACTCTCACGTGCGTAAGGATAAGAACAACTGAAGAGATACGAGTTTCTAACATTTACGGGACATTGAACGACCTAGTCTATGTCTAGGTGAGTTTTTTTATTTTTCATAATAACTTTCTTATTAAATATTCAATTTTTTGAATATTTGAGGTACAACTGCTAGTGTTCCAACAAATTTTTTTTCCATTGAATTCTAATAATTATAATTTAATTAAATATAGAAGTAATTACATAATATTAATAGTCATATTTTTTCCTTTACATATATTTAGATATTTCAAAATAAAGATTTACACTTTTATATTCTTCACTACTGTTTTAATTTTTTGGACAGTTTAAAAAAGTGTTNATAGTCATATTTTTTCCTTTACATATATTTAGATATTTCAAAATAAAGATTTACACTTTTATATTCTTCACTACTGTTTTAATTTTTTGGACAATTTAAAAAGGTGTCGTGTGAAATTTTTACTTCATTTGATTATGCAGATTTAAATGAAGCTACAATTAATTAGGTTAAGTTGTTGTGTTTTAGAGACGACGCGCTGTTATCTTCTGTATTATATTTCTTCCATAAAAGGACATAAATCGTCTTAAGAGAACGATCTAATATGTACCTCCCTCCGTTGTTCACTTTATCTTTCGAACTATTTTTTCCAACAAAATTTCCATTAACTTCTGATAAAATGGTAACTCATGGTGACATTAGCAATCTACCCTGCAGTGGGGAGCGTGTAAATTGATAGTACAATGGAGACCACATGTCTCAAGGAGGGAGGCAGAAATTTAATTTTAGTAGGACACTTGAACTTTTAGTCGTAATTTAAGATGAGTTTATCTTTATTTACATCATATTTGATACATAAATCCTCATTAAACATACAAAAAGCCAAGTATACATGGTCTATACCACAAAAGAAAATAAATTAAAAAAAAAAGGCTAATTACAATATTTCACAAAGCAAGGAGGCTTATTTAGCCATTTACGATCAAACCCTGATTGTATTTATATGTCGGATGCCCACTGCTAATCTAACGAGAACAATGTATTAGATTCTCAAATTAGATCTCAATAGAATTATTCACAAGAATATGAGGAATAGCCTAAAACCACCCCAGTCGTTGGCTAGCTCGGCCCATGGACACCAGCATGGTTGATCTCCATTGGCTACCTTGGCCGTCAGAGTCACCACCATGCACACGGGGCTGGAGACACTACTGAAACTGAAACAGATGCCAAGTGATGAGAATTAGTTCCTATGTTGCTCAAAGAAGTGTATGCAAATGCCAAGGCACCATTTTTAAGTTACAATATCAACAGGAGACATGGGAGTCGGAGTAATTTATCGTCTTCAGAACAGTAGAAGTTGTTAGTAATACATAATTGAAACAATTACAATCAGCAGCAGACAATCCTTATGACAGCTTCTCATCTTTCAATGGATTTAAAAACAAGTGAAAACCGGGGTGACAAAACCCCCATAATTTCTTTAAGATGTTTAATACAACATGAATTTCCTAGAGCAGAAAAATTGAGGGAAAACTGTTGAATATTTTTGAAGAAGAAAGTGACTACAGAAGAGGGAGGCGGGAGTTTTCTGTGCTAGCACAACTACCGAAATGTTAGAATCTGAAGCTGGGATCAACGTCCATTGACCAAGCAAACTTCGCCAGAAGAGACTTGTTGAAAATCTGCATGGGAGAAATCTTAATAAGCAACCATGAGCGAGTCAAACAACTATCCCACTACCCTACCCCATGAAAATCCTGGTGTCAATGGTTCGAATCCACTTCTACACAGGCAAAGGGTAAAAAGGACATGTAACTGGAAGCAAGCCGGATTTGGAAATTCAAGTGAAAGAGTAAGCCAACAAATGTGACCGCACCCACACCTACACGAGAGAAAGAGAGAGAAGAGGGGGAGGAG